CAAGCTGGCAATGAATGAAAATGATGATTTTCTTACTCACGTTGGCACAGTCAACCGAGAATGTGAGAGATTTCGACTCAGGTCCTTAACAGATGATCAGTTCAAAGCCTTGATTCTCATATGCAGTCTCCAATCTCCTCGTTTCACAGATATCCGAACTCGACTGCTCAATCAGCTAGAACAAAATCCCAAGTTAACATTACATGACATAGCTGATGAATATCAACGGCTGATTAATCTGCAGAAAGACACACACCTGGTCGAATCAACACCTCCGAGAAGCTCTGATATTCGTGCATTACGAAAGAGCAAAAATCTCTCATCAGCTACTCCTGACCCACCTACTTCTCCTAATGTTCCGCGGAAATCTATACATACTCGTCCAACTTCACAAAATACTGCAAAGAAGACCCCTCCATCACCATGCTGGCATTGTGGCGCGTGGCACTTTGTAAAGTCTTGCCCATACAAAAATCATCGTTGCAGCAAGTGCAAAATCATCGGTCATAAAAATGGGTTTTGTCAGCCACGCCAACTCAGATATCATAATCCAGCAAAAGCTCAACAAAATGTCGGTCCTAAATCTCCAAAAAGATCACTGAGTCTACGTGCAACCTGTCAAGTCACAACACCAGCTATGCGGAAATATATTGACCTTCAGATGAATGGTCATGATACTCGTCTGCAGCTAGATACTGCCTCTGATATTACTGTTATATCAGAGAAACTTTGGAATTATATTGGCAGACCACCTATCACCAATACTTCCCAGTCTCTTCTCAGCGCCTGTGGTGGGCGGCTCAAACTAATTGGTGAACTCAAATGTTCTGTTTCCTTCCGCAATACCAAATTCACAGGAATTTGTTACGTCACGAAGAATGATTTAAATGTTTTGGGACTTGATTGGTTCGATCGTTTGCATCTGGCTGATGTCCCACTAAATTCTCTACGCAATACAGTGAAGAAGCATAAAATGCTAGACAATTCCGGACGGAGCCGAAGCCGCAAACCCAACAATCAGACGAAACGACAGGCGTCAACAACAAGCCCAAAGGTCCCAGATAAACCCCCAGGTAAACATCCTACTAATCATTCATCTTCTCAAAAGGGGAGGTGATATGTATCCACATATATATATTTATGTGTGTGTGTGCATGTTGGTCTCTCTTTCTGTTTGCTCGGTTAGTCTGTGACCACTTCACTTGTATGGACTTGTCTCCTTTAATAATGTGTATTCTCCTTATATTATATTATATATAATATGAGTGTTTGTTGACAGTCCGTTGCTTGGTGACATATATCCATATATGTTTGTTGGCATGTCTGCTATATTCGCTATGTATAATTGGATCGACACTCCATTATAATTAGCCATTCATGTTAAGACTGTCTAATGATTTTTCCCACGCTTGTCTGAATTATTTATATATATTCGCATTCACAATTTGTGTGAACTACTTTACTTACTTACCACTTTGGTGTGAGACCATTTATTTTCGTCTCCTTGTGTTTGGACAATAGAAGTATCATCGCAAACCTAGTGGTCTTCTGATTTCCGCCTTCTCGCGTCAGGACTATTAGTTTCTCGACCAGTCCATAATAATAATTTAGCGACGAGTACATAACACGGTCTCTGTAATCTTTCATAATCCTTTCTACCATTACCCATTCTGTTTCGCTCCTATACTTGTGAAACTCTATTAATTCTCTCCACTCATCTTCTTGTCTACCTTTGTGTGCCATTTGGAACGTGGCAACTCGAACTGGTGCACTTCGGTGACAAATTCTATGTTGAATCCAGAGAGAGAGACATGGGGTCATCTTTACGTTGTTGTCAATTCGGCCAATTGGTAAAGACAAAAAAACCAACCAAGTGTGCGTGGATTTTTGGATTTGATAAGTGTATAAATTTATACAAGCAGCATGTGTTTACATAGTGAAATTGCTTATCCGACATTTGTTTTGATTTTGTCATTTCATGGGGGCAGGAGGGGTGAGTGTTGCAATTAGGTCAATTTCTGTTTTAATAAATCATTCTTATTCAGTTTAGACAATTCGAATTCCATTTGGTGATATGAACTGAATCTGATGATGTGAGACATTCTTTGTGATTTCTGAAATTTTTCTGCATTATTTCAATGTCGTCAATATATTTTTTTCATTTTAGCTTCACTCGACACTGTATTTTTGATCAAAGTATGGAATTTTCAGCATGTGATATCGATAGTGCAAATTTAGCAGGCTGACACTTGGTATCAGGTGTGAGTCGGTCAGAGATCGAACCCCGGACCATATACATGGTCGGCGAGCGTCATAACGGCTATGCCACCGGCGCACAATACTGTTCTAGCTACTCGAAGAACATTAAAAAATCAACACCACCGTTAAATAAGGTCGAAAATGTATTCCGAAGGTATCGGCCACAACGGTTGTCATTCCATATAGAGCAGAGACGTCAGACGATATCAGAAGAGTACTAAATCCGGTTAACACTAGAGTTTTCTTCAAAACATCAGACACACTTCAAATCAACCTTGTCCATATAAAAGACCAAACAAATCCCTAAAGATTCTCTATCTAATTGTGTCTATAAAATAAAATGCTTCAAATGTGACGTAATCTACATCGGACAAACATCTCGAGAAATCAAGGTAATCAGAAGAAATGAACACCGTAGAGCTTCTCTCCGACCACCGAGAAATCTGGCTGAACTAGAGAAGCTTGAAAATAATAATTTGATAGAGCTATTAATGTTAAATAGGGAAACCTCAGTAAAAACAATATCGTTTTGTCTTTTCATTCATTGGGAAATACAAAAACCTTTATTATAATGAATATATACACCTAATGGCCAAATTTTTTCAAACTGTTAAAAGTGAACTTGATTTGGACACATATTTCTTACATTGTGGTGAGATGTGCGGTCGCACATAGAGGCGGAAAAAATTTGTAATCCGATAACGGGTAGATTATGAAAATAATAACGAAGTCAGTGATTACAATCTACTATTCATTTCATGATAAAAGATAGAGTGATTGCGGATAACTTTGGGATACGTTAAGACACTTCCACAGATAATTTTGAATTACTCTACATGGAATCTGCAGTAATCTGGTGAGAGATGGTTCCACGAAAACTTAGTGAAACCGAAAATTTACTTATACGTATATCTGTAAAGTATTCATAGGCATAAGTCGAATTCGGCAGGTTACACCACCGGTACCTAAGAAAAGATTCTCCAAATAGATATGATACAGAAGATTTGTAGCTCAGGTGGATGATTTTGATGTGGTTGTGTTCTCTGAGCTGGATGGTTAATTTGCGAAGCTTTCATCACTCTACCGGGTGACATCTTCAACGCATACTTCAATTTACTGAAGTGAGCTCTTAGATTTCTCCACGAGTTTATTCATCATCTCTCCTGGTGACTTTGGACGTGATTGGTTGCTTTTGTGTGTTTTCACACCTTCTAGGCAGCTACTTGTATTGGAACTGATTGTTTGTTTCTTTGACTTGAACTTTGACCCTTTGTGTGTGAAGTTTCTTTCTTATCGGTTGATTTCCTATAAACTCGAGTTTATAGAAAATCAACTCACACAGACCAAATTTGAATTACAACAGCAACAATCCAATAACACAAAAAGAATTGCATACAAACACTATTCAAGAGGGCAAGGACTCATTGCAGCACTCCCACCTTAAGGAAAATTGAAGAAAAATATCTCATGGACGTCCTCCAAAAGAATGGATATCCATGGAATTTCATCAAAAGACATATACCCCAAAGACAACCTACCAAAGCAAAAACCACCAAAGAAAGCACAAAGAAAAACGCCTTACCACATATAAAGGATATCTCAAAAATCACTACAAGACTCTTCAAACCTTAAGGAATTGAGATCGTACACAAACCAACAAAGTCACTTCACTCAGTTCTATGTCAACCAAAATACTCAACACCGAAAGAAGATAAAATCAACATCATCTACGAAATAAATTGTAACAACTGCGAAAAACACTACATTGGCCAAAGCGGATGTCCCCTTCGTCTTCGTATCCATGATCATAAGCTAGTCGTGAAAAGACATGACATCCACTCCCTCATATCACTACATACAAACAACCACGGACATCATTTCGACGGGGCAACCAACGTTCAAATATTAGACAGAGGAAACAACAAGAATGCTAGAGAATTTTTAGAAGCCTGACTGGTATTCCAGTGAATCATCAATCAATAGACACATCGAGATAGACAAAATTTATCAACCGATAAGAAAGAAACTTCACACACAAAGGGTCAAAGTTCAAGTCAAAGAAACAAACAATCAGTTCCAATACAAGTAGCTGCCTAGATGGTGTGAAAACACACAAAAGCAACCAATCACGTCCAAAGTCACCAGGAGAGATGATGAATAAACTCGTGGAGAAATCTAAGAGCTCACTTCAGTAAATTGAAGTATGCGTTGAAGATGTCACCCGGTAGAGTGATGAAAGCTTCGCAAATTAACCATCCAGCTCAGAGAACACAATCACATCAAAAAGATTCTCCAAATACCAAGCTGCATATCCTTAATGACGGTCGATGATACTTCCACAAATGTCCAGGCTGAAATAGGTGAAATGGGACTGAAATCTATAGCCAATTTGACTGAAAGTTAAGTGTGTTCAATGACAGACTCTTCAGGTGGAACGTAAAAGATACTACCCACAATATGGTGAAATATACCTCTATCTCCATAATGATTAGTCTACAAGAGGTCAATGGTAACCACTATCTGACTGCTGCCCATTCACTAGGTGGTGGTATAGGTTCGACTTACGTATAGGACGTCGGCTGCTTCAAAATTGCTGCCAGCATCTTTCTGAGGAGTTTCCAGTTAGTAAAAAGACTTATATATTTTCATAACCATTGTGTTGAAAAAATAGTTGATGCAGAACACACACTCAATGTAGAAATATAAAATATCTCTGAGTACAGCATATTTTAATGACTAACCTTCATGAACAATTTTGATATGTTCATCCAGATTGGCTTTAGAAGCGAACTCTTTGTCACACTGTTCACAGGTAACCTTCATACCTATAGAAAATAACAACATTAGTGATAAGACAGTGTATTAGCGTATCCTATGGAAAATAAAAGCATTATATCAACAAACCTCGCTGAGTTTACTAGCTCGCTAGTCTTCTAGCCAGTCACTAGCTCGGGAAAAGACGGAGAGTTGGACGTGGTTCTAGCGATCCTATCCCGGAAAATCAATCCAATTGATATAGAAACTACGAAGCGCAGGAGACTTATGCCTTGATGTTACACAAACTCAAAGACTTTCAAGGAAAGACCAACCAATTGTCAGAAGACGCTGGCAGCGAAGACACAACTTCAAGTAAGTATAGCGAAGACATAGGGGATGAAGATAACCAACCAATAACAGGCATTAATCAATATCAACGGGAGATAATTGAAAGCGGTCACTTACTTCATTTGTCTGACTAGGCAGCGTCCATTCAACTACAGACGACAGCAAGGATGAGTAAGTCATAACTAGAACCGAAAAGCCATGACAGACCTACATCACGCGGAAATCAGTTTGGAAACCTGCGCTCAGCAGCGTAAAAACCGAAATTCAGATTTTTAACACCAATGTTAAGTTAGCGAGTCACTTCTTCTTATATATATATATATATATATATATATATATATATATGGGTCAGAAACTTGCACTGAGAGTCACGAAAAACGTTTTCAACAACAGACAGACTTTTGGTAACAGCTGCCTCCTTCGACGACTCCATATTGAAGACCAGATAGCTGGCCAGAATGTGGCAATGAACGCACCAACCAACAATTGACCGGATACACGCTGAGGAGACCACTGAATGACATTGCGCACTAGATAATCGATAGAGTGGAACCCATATGGGAAACGACGAGCTGGGAGTGTGGCCAACGGTGACGTGGAGAAGAACGCGTGGGGAGGAGATAAGAGTAAATGGGTAATCTCGGAACCAGCTAAGAGGACTTTAAAGAATAGAACAAACTGGAGATGTGTTGCTGAAGCCCTATGTTCCACTTGGATCTCAAAAGAATAATAATTTATTATAAAAAACAACATCCTGAGGAAAACGACACAGTTGTCACTTATCCTCCGGTTTTGCGGTGGGTCTTCCGACTGAAGTTGTCTCGTCGTCCAACTTGAAGTCGATAAAAACCCTACACACCAAAACAACAAGACTACAAACTGCTGGTGCAAAATACTACACACACACACAGACACACAATTAAATTTACTTGAAATAGAATATTTCATATTTTGTTAAGCAAACTAAGTCAGGTCTGTAGTCCAATTTTCCTAGTAATTTTATCCTTTTTAAGAATGTACTCAGAAATCAAAAAGAGCCTCCTAGCTGTCAACTAGTTGTTTTATTTTTTACAAATCAAAGAACTATCTGGTAATTGGAGTTGCTTTTTTCATTTAATACAACCGTTCATTATAATAGAGGTTTTTTGTATTTCCCAATGAATGAAAAAACAAAACGAGATTGTTTTTACTGACGTTTCGCTATTTAATGCTAATAGCTTTCTCAAAGTATTATTAAATCGGAATTTACAAAATCTCAGCATATATATAACAAAGAATTAGGGGGTGAGAAAAATATAGACTTAGTTCAACTTAAAAGGACATATTGAAAGTCAAAATAACAATGAAGATCGTTCAAACCAAATATCGAAGGTGATAGTATATCTGTTATTATATCAAAATAAAGTTTACTAACTTGATCATCGTCTGATGTCTCTGCTCTATATGGAATGACGACTGTTGAAGTCCATGTTTTCGGAATGCATTTTCGGCCATACTTAATGTTTGTGTTGATTTTGTTGATGAAGTTCGTTGGGTAGTTGTTTTGCTTGAGAGTTTTAGTGATGTTTGAAATTTCTTCTTCTTTTTCTTGCTCATCTGTTATCAGGGAGTGTGCTCGTCTAAGAAGCGCAAAGATTTCAGTTGTTTCAAGTCTTCTTAGACGAGCACACTCCCTGATAACAGATGAGCAAGAAAAAGAAGAAGAAATTTCAAACATCACTGAAACTCTCAAGCAAAACAACTACCCAACGAACTTCATCAACAAAATCAACACAAACATTAAGTATGGCCGAAAATGCATTCCGAAAACATGGACTTCAACAGTCGTCATTCCATATAGAGCAGAGACATCAGACGATATCAGAAGAGTACTTAATCAACTCGACATTAGAGTTTTCTTCAAAACATCAGACACACTTCAAAACAACATTGTCCATATAAAAGACCCAACAAATCCCTAAAGATTCTCTACCTAATTGTGTCTATAAAATAAAGTGCTTGGAATGTGATGCAATCTACATCGGACAAACACCTCGAGAAATCAAGGTAATCAGAAGAAATGAACACCGTAGAGCTTCTCTTCGACCATCAAGAAATCCAGTTGAACTGGAAAAACTTCAAAAATCATCAGCCATAGGTCTACATGCTATAGAATCAGGCCACAAAATTGATTTTGATAATATTGAAATAATCCAGAAAAACTTCAGAAACCACAAAGAACGTCTAATATCAGAAGCACTTCATATCAAGTGGAATCCAAATTGCCTGAATAGGAATGATGGACTGAAACAGAATCTAACCTGGCTACAACACCCTCCCCCATGAAGTAGCAAAATCAACGCAAATGTGGTGAGCAAGTTCACTATGTAAACGCACACTACTTTCATAATTCTACACACTGACAAAATCCAACAATCTACACTTGGTTTTACTATCTTTACCAGTTCGCTAACTTGACAACAAAAAAACGACCCAGACTGATGAATGATGATCAAGTATTTCACAGCCTACACTTAGTTTAGTTACCTTTACCTATTCTCGAACTTGACAACCAAAAATAACCCCAGAGTAACGAACGATGATCAAGTTAGTAAACTTTATTTTGATATAATAACAGATATACTATCACCTTCGATATTTGGTTTGAACGATCTTCATTGTTATTTTGACTTTCAATATGTCCTTTTAAGTTGAACTAAGTCTATATTTTTCTCACCCCCTAATTCTTTGTTATATATATGCTGAGATTTTGTAAATTCCGATTTAATAATACTTTGAGAAAGCTATTAGCATTAAATAGCGAAACGTCAGTAAAAACAATCTCGTTTTGTTTTTTCATTCATTGGGAAATACAAAAACCTCTATTATAATGAATATCATATACCCAATGCCCAAATTTTTTCAAACCGTTAAAAGTGAACTTGGTTTGGATATATATAATACAACCGTTGTCTACTGTACGGTACGACGACTTTGAGCATCACATTGCATCAAACCTGATGATGCTGCTGATGATATTCTGTCTGTCTGTCTCAATCTGTTTTCAACATAGAACTTTGCACATATGTGCGGTTTTTCAAGTCGCCACACTCCTCCTTTTTAACACACAAAGCAAGAGAAGAAAGTAGAAGAAATGCATAATAGAGACAGGAAACAAAGATTTCAGACAAAGGAATAGTAATAACGAAGAACAATAGAGCCTCACTGGAAATCATAAGTCACAAGGAGTGGATGCATCTGCACCAGCCATTGAGAACGATCACATTCAACCATATCACCAATTGTTTCCAGCAATTGGTTTCTACCGTCCCGAGGACCCCATTCAGTCAGGAAGTCTACACCTTCCTACGTCACTGACTTAAACTAACTGTTGTAGTTTTTTTGACTGGTGAAGCCATGTTTTTGTCTGACCGCCACGAGCTCCTTTCCAGCCTGACTCTATGTCAGCTAACATAGCCCGTTGTCGAGGAGGGCTATGACTAGGCCACGCATGTGTAGCACATGTCCTAACCATCTCAGTCAATGTAACTTCACAGCCTCGTCGATTGATTTCCCATGTCACTCACTTAGCACTTGACGCCTAACCTCAAAATTGCTCACCTTATTATACCACTTCACAAGGGAGAGACCGCAGGCGCCTATGATCAAAGACAGCTAGCCAAGCTTTTCATGTCTTCCACTCTCAATGGCCAGGTCTCACTTGCTTGTATAAAGGGGACGGAGCGGACTGATGACCAGTACACCCACCCTTTGGTCGATACTCGGATATCACATCTACGCCAGAGACGGTGTAAACTGGCATATGCGAAACTAGTTCTCTGTATCCGTGCTGAGATTTCGTCAGAGATCAACCCATTGGCACTGGCTGATGGTACTGCCCAAATAAGTGATGTGGTCAACACGCTCCACCAACTACTTCACTGCCTATTTGTGAACTAGAAGTCAGTGTAGTGCAGTCCTGTAACGTCAACTTGCATTTGGTGGGAGCGAATCGCATGCCAAACATTCGTAGATTGCAGCTCAAGGTGTTCAGAAGACTCTTCATTTTGTCAGCTTCCTCGCCTAGGAGGACTATATCGTCTGCATATTAAAATTGATAATCAAATCATGACGATTTGCACTCCATGTACATGCGTTTTTGGAAGTATCGGGTATTTCTCTGAGTTGGATTATTTATTTGTCTATCTGGACATCAACAACGGCAACTTTTGCTGGTGACTACACGATCGTCAATTTCAGTCAAGGTCATTGAGAAAGATGGATATTATTTCCATGAAAATGCGTAAGTGATTTAGTGCAGAATGCTCGTCAACCATGCCACATATGATTCGGGGTTCGAATACCAGCCAACACACTCCTAAACATCACCAAGATAGTAGTATGGCCATTGAAAAGAAGGAAGGTTGGACGTATGCTTAGTAACCCTACCCCACGAAGCTTAAAAGCTCTAGACTGCAGCCATATGTTGCACCGGGAACCTAAGGGAATAAAATATTAATAAGTACTACTAATTTCCATGACAGCTGTACAATTTAAAACATCTAGTTCTGAGAATACAATCACTCCAGATGACAATACACCAAGCTTATCACCAATTATCAAGCGATAAAAAGATATAGGCCAAGGGAGAGAGAGAGAGACAGAAAGGCTGCATCATAATATATTGAATTAATGCATCTATGACTTTTGTAACATTTGTGGGTAAGAGGACACAAGAAAACATTCAAAGATAACTACAATACACAGTCATATCATACATTTACACGTCAACAAAAAGGTATAAGGATAGTAGAATTCAACTCGACGACACAACACGGATACAAGCAAACAAACACACAATATTGGTTCCAGAGTGAAGTTACTTTACATGTGAATAGATTTTACTAAACGGATGTAGACAACGTTCCCTGTGGTTGTGTTCTCTTAGCGAGCTGGATGGTGTAATATTATGAAGCTTTCCTTGTTCTTCGAGACATCCTCTTCATCGTAAACTCAAAAATGACATTGTGAAAAGGATAATAATCAATAACTCATTATGACACACTATTCAGAATGTAGGACGTAAAATCAGAACCGTAAAACTTATAGTCTTCAAAGTAATAAACACCCCACAGGCATTGCGCTTCAAATCGCCATCCTGATACCAGCTTTAGTAGTGTGGATTGCTTGAGATTCAAGCAACCAAAATACCCTTCCCCATCTACAATACACGTATAAATATACATGTATATGTATCGCTTCGAATTACTTTTGTTTTAATCAATCAAAGATGTCCTCCAATCGAGGTACATTTAACCGCACAATTTAAAAAAGTATTTCAAACTATCGAATTTGATAAATCTAAACTATAACCGACTAGGAAACGGAACTACCTAATAAATGGATGTAATGAATCTGAGCAATCAATCAGATAGCTCCATAGTGTATATAGGCGGAATTAAGGAATGCTGTACACGAATTACGCGTAGTAGATTTCATCAGTATTTAGTATTTAACTAAGGGATAAGATATGTAGATGTGCACATGTAATGGATATACAGCGATTCACACAACCCCTATTGCTGCGTTTGTGTATAGCTGCTAAGAGTGCCATAGCAATATATCTATTCAATTTTGTTAATCCTTTCAATGGGACTCATACAAAACCCATTAAAATTAATGGAATCACATAATCAAGAGGATCAGAGCACTGGATAAGTCAAAAATACGCTGATTTACAGTTATCTGGATGGATGGATTTACGTGTAGAAATTGCTTTGGCTTGGCTTATCAATGAGCGATCAAGTCAGTAATCTAAAGTCAACGATGATCAATAGAACAAAATGGGTTATGAATCTCTCAATACATATATTAAGTCCTACAGAAAAAAGTGTATCATTAAAAGGGACTAAATTTCAATGTAGCGGTGGACAAGCTTAAACCTTAGATGTCATCCCTAAAATAGAAATAGCACTAAGTGGGATAGACAAAACAACGGTTGAGGAAGTACGGACACAATGTGCGCTAACATTAAAACGACAAAAATGTGGAAAGCCTAACCTGATCAAACCCGAGATAGAAGCCCTGAAACACCTTAAGAATAACAAGGATATAGTTATCACAAAATCAGACAAAGAAATGCAACAGTACTATTAGACAAACTAAACTATTTAGACGAGGTAAATACTCACATACAAACAGGACCATATGAGGAAATTAATAAATCAATAGACACCGTTGTGAATACAGTTAACAAATCCACAGCGGACTTTATACACCGAATGAAGCCGTTTCTAAGAGAGTCTAAGTGGTTCAATTTAATGTCCAAAACTAATAACCCCAGTAGGATATATGGTGTTGTTAAAGTCCATAAGTCAGGATACCCTATTAGACCTATAGTTGATTTTAGAAATTCACCTACTTATGAATTATCTAAATATTTAGCCGTGGTATTAAATCCCCTAAAAAGGCCACTCGAAATTTAGACTAACTAATTCTTATGAAGAAAAGTTCTTATGAAGGAAAAATGGTTAGTTTTGACATTGTCAATTTGTATACACGTATACCAATAAATATGGCTATAGAGGCAGTCAGAAACGAACTCTTTTCTGACCAAGAACTCAAACTTAGGACAAAAGTGCCATTTGAGGGCATAATGCTGGCAGTGCAGCTATGCCTGACTTCCACAGTATTTAAATTCCCGGGGAAAACATACAAACAAACTGAGGGAGTTGTCATGGGGTCACCAATATCCCCAGTTGTGGCAGATATATTCATGGATAGGTGGGAAAACATAGCGATTGAAACGTTTACCCCCACCCCAAAAGTATGGTGGAGGTATGTAGATGACACATTCACTATACTTAGAACAGAAGATATAGATAGATTTTTCGAATACATTAACTCAAATTTGGAGGCGATTCAATTCACTTATGAATTGGAAAGTCAGGAAGGAGAGGTTCCAATGTTAGATTGCAACGTAAAAAGGAAAGAAGATGGGAAGTTAAACACTAGTGGTTACAGAAAACCCACACACTCAAACAGATATTTGGACTTCCGATCATCCCATCCTATGTCAGTAAAAATAGGATTGGTGAAATGTTTAAGTGATAGAGCACAAAAACTAAGTAGCACCAAAAAAATCGAAGACAGGAAGTGATACACATAAAAGAAGCCTTGATACTTAATAATTACCCGGATAAATTAGTCAGGAAATATGTAGGGAAATAAAATAAATAATAATAGTAGTGATAGTGATAATAATAATAATAATAATGACGACATGCATGTCAAATACGCGCAAGACAACACCAAAAATCAGGAATCTAAATCATCAGTAATAATTCCATACAAAGAATGAACCTCGGAATTCTCACAGAAAATTCTTAACAAAGCAGGAATAAAAGTAGCTGGCATTCAAACCACACACAAACTCAATTAGAAACAAGCTTTGTCGGTCAAAGCATCAATCCTGTGGAGCCTTTAAAACAAAACAATTTAGTTTATCTAAGACCCTGTCTGTGATGATTGTCAGGTCAAATACATAGGTCAAAGTAGTAGAACAAGGGCAGTCAGACTAGCCGAACTTAAAAATATAGCAAAATCTAGATTGGTTGACCCAAATAAGATAAGAAATCTAGACAATAGTTCAGCTATAGTATTACATGCAGTTACACACAACCATACAATACGATGGGATAAGATGATATTTTTAAAATCTAATGTCACAGGGTGAATGGAAGGAGAGATTGGTAACAGAAGCCTTGTTTATCGAGTCAACTGAAGACAGTACGTGTAATAGGAATGATTCAACACCTGTCCACCCAGATATTTGGAAAAGTCTACTACTCCAACAACGACAAATAGGAGAGAACAAAGAAAACTATAAAACTCAAGTTTCGAAGTCGTGTGATTATAATTGATGGAATGATTATGAACAATAAATTTTGTTCGAAACGTATTCCAGTAAATAATATTGTTTCACTTAATAAACAAACTAATATTCCAATTACTTACTACCGCATTGTCCATGTTTCGCACCTGTATTAACAGGAAGGCTATTAAATGGCATTCTAAGTAAAATTATGTCTGCCTTTTTGAGCTTAGAAAGGGTATATACAGTATTGTAGTTAGGTAGGGTAACGGCTTTGTATATTAAAGTTTTGGGACTAGATTTAAGGTTAAATTTATGGTTAAAGTTAAGATTAGGAGTTAAGATTATAATCAGAGTTAGGAGTAGTAGGTTGCAAATAGTTTCAGAAATACCAACAGATCTCAAAATACCATGACCTACAGTCACCTAGATGAATGCATCTATCTAGCATGGCATGATTTCTTTATCTGTCTTCTGTATACTGACTGAGAGATAGACATTCTAACACCGCATAAGCTATAACTGTACAATGTGATATCATGTTTGCAATGTTTTTTAGTGCATTTTTCAATGATTATACGATTATTTTGTATCTGAATTCTGATTGGTGGGGTTCAGGGTCACTGAAGTTTGGTTATGATAGTTTAACATTGTTGGTTACTTCTACATAAACACTTTTTTTAAATTACGCACTTTTACTTCGGACTGATGTCACTGGTGAATAGATATTTCTCAAGGTCATTAGTGTTAGACAGCTTTCCTACAGGTCGCTCGAGTTTACAGTTATCCACTTTTTGCATCCCCTCATAACATATAAAAGAAAACATTATAATGAATGGCAAAGAGTCATGAAACAGCATTAAACAACATACATCAAAAGGTTACGCTTAAATTACTTAGCACACTTAGCAAACTTTCTTTTGATTGATATTATCTGTGAAAGATGTGAAGATTATTGAAATTTTAAAAAATGCTGAAATCTCCATTCTGCAAAACGAAATCGTAGCACAGTAAACAAATTCACCCCTGAGAGAGAGAGAGAGATGATGGGAAAAAACATACCTACCTTGATGGACAATCAGGATATGTTCATTTAAATAACATCTACGGGAAAATTTTCTGTCACATTGATCACAAGATAATCTGATCCCTGTGGGGGAAACAGAACAGAGAAAAACACAAAAATTTAGTGAAGGATACACTAGAGAGGAAAAACCATCCAAATATCAAGAAAACATAAGCAGTGAGTTTAATCATCATTATGTGCGTCGGTGGTAGAATATGTTAGCCATCCACACGCGCATGCGGCCTGGAATTCGAAACCCTACCGACTAACCACTAAACTTCACATAGTTTACCAGCCAAAAGTAGTAAGTTTGGGAAAGGAAGAAGGTTCAGCGTGAGGTTAGCAACCTCAACCCGTTAAAACAACACCAGAGCTACTGGAACTTCACGACTACAAGCCTGGAGCCCACTTGGAACTTAAAGGAATAAAAAAAATCATCTCTATGGTGAATAATTGTAAAGGAATGTTACTTAGGTAATTTTTATTATTATTATTATTGTTCCCTTAGGTTCCTAGTGGAACATAGGGCTTCAACTGCACGTCTCCACTTGCTTCTGTCTTCTGCTGTACTTTTCACCTGCAACCATGTTAGTTAGTCCATACTGTTTCAACTTCTCTTCACACGATCTCCTCCATGTCACCCTTGCACCGACGTCCCACTCGCCGCTTCCCTTTCGGCTTGGTTCCAATCGAGGGCCTGACGCGCGATATCACCTAGTTGCCTACTCAGCGAGTGTCCAATCTATCTCCACTTTCCCCTGCATATTTCTTGGCTGGCGATTGGTTCTTGTTTTGTTTGTTCCCATAGTTTCTTGTTGGTGATTCTTTCCGGCCCGGCCATCTGACCTTCAGTATAAAGCGAAGACAGTTGTTGATAGGTAGTTTTCACCTAACTCTTAATGTTGACGCCTACGATAGAAGTATGTCTATTATCTGAACTCGGCGTTCAAAGGAGATGTATCTGCTGCATCACTAGAACTGGAAAACTGCAGTTAAAGTGCACCTTGTCACAAGATGATACATTTAATAATTCCAATGTAGGTGAAGGACAAACTATTAAGTCTGTGCACACCACTTTCAACAACCCATTTGAAGATGGTTGAATTGCTTAGCATTGCCTAATGTGGTGAAACAAAACCGATCATGAGGTCAATTCAAGATCTCTATACTGCCCCTCATCTAGTGGATACAGTGGCGTGCATTGACGGAAATCCAGCTCTGAAACTCTCTCATTCTCTCACCATTTTACACAAGGTGACAACTTAATTTTAAGCCTAATCTGTGTATTCGAGAGAAATTCCTCGAGCGTATTAACCTCACAAAACCAACTACTACAATTCAGATACAACAACCAGAATAATTTCCACACATCACCGGGCTCCTTGGTTACATTGAACAAAGCGAGGAAAAACATATTTTCCGCTATGAGCACCTTCATAGCAGGATAATATCAATCCACCTCATCATTTCATCGGATTTTCATCAGCCACATACATCACCTTGAATCATACTTGTAATAATAAATGGTGTATGAGCAATAAACAAGTGTGAAATAACAGTTTAAACAGACTTTAACTAAATGAATAGCCAGTTGGTTTTATCAGAGAGTTAAATAACATCTCGATGACAACGGAGAGACGCAGTGATGCCAGGGTGATTTACGAGAAGTTAGAACAGTGAATTACAATCAAAACAGAAACATTATATGTATTGTGCATAGAAGAATGCTGTGGAAATTTTAGGGCAATCCAGGCTATAAACTGGTGAGGACAACCACATAGTCACGTGAAAGGTTATTCGAGGTCAAGAGGACACAAAGATATCAAGAAGTTGTAAGGAAAGCGATGATGAATGCATTCATCGAGTTATGCCACTCACAAACACACACACACAGCAGCAGCAGCTGGCGAGAAGCCAACGAAATGAACAAAGAGTGCTACCAATTTATTCTGCACAAACCACCACTGTTGTTCTTTCTGTATTCACTTTAACTTGTTGAAACTTCATTTTATTGTACTTTCTATTTGTGTGTGTGTGTGTGTTTGTGAGTGGCATAACTCGATGAATGCATTCATCATCGCTTTCCTTACAACTTCTTGATATCTTTGTGTCCTTCTTGACCTCGAATAACCTTTCACGTGACTATGTGGTTGTCCCCACCAGTTTATAGCCTGAATTGCCTTAAAATTTCCACAGCATTCTTCTATGCACAATACATATAATGTTTCTGTTTTGATTGTAATTCACTGTTCTAACTTCTCGTAAATCACCCTGGCATCACTGCGTCTCTCCGTTGTCATCGAGATGTTATTTAACTCTCTGATAAAACCAACTGGCTATTCATTTAGTTAAAGTCTGTTTAAACTGTTATTTCACACTTGTTTATTGCTCATACACCATTTATTATTACAAATATGATTCAAGGTGATGTATGTGGCTGATGAAAATCCGATGAAATGATGAGGTGGATTGATATTATCCTGCTATGAAGGTGCTCATAGCGGATTACTGAAATAAATACATATTATGTTCGCTGCAAATGCTATCTTTGTCATTTTCATACTGTGTTATATAAATGGCATATTCTATCTTATTAGTTTGACAACTAACGATTTCAGTAAGATGAGATAATAGTTGTTCTTTCCTTTGTACCACCCTTAAATACACTGAAAAGGACAGTCTACTCACATACCCGCAATGATTGACTACCACTAGAATGATTTTATTATCATTTAATGACTATTTTGATTGCTAAGTTTCCATTAATTCATAAATTCAGATATCATGTGAACGCATGAATATTTAAGGTGTTAATTAGAAAGAAATAGCTTCAAGTAAAATAAAAGGCCTAATTATATCACAAAAAGATGTGATCAGTTTTTGCATAAATACACCTATTTTCTCGGGTTAGGTGGGGTTGCCTTCCAATCACCCCCAACCATCTCATATCCCTCGTGCGATTCAAACCAGTGTCACTCAGTGCTGCAGTCAGTCAGAGACATTATCACTAAGCTAATCGGGCTCGTGATCAACTTCCCCTGTAGGACTATATTAGCTCAGTGATAGCGTCGTGATTTAGCGCGACCCCAACCATTGTCGTTGGTAGGACATCCATCCCCACACACGTGACATCTAATTGGACCTCACTGGTCACGACTTCTCACTAGAACTCAGGAAACTCCAACCTGTAGCAAGTCACTAGCCAGCATCAGATTCACTTAAGTTTTCGTATTTCCCAATGAATGAAAAAAACAAAACAGTATTGTGTCTACTGACGTTTCGCTATTTAATGCTACTAGTAGCCTTATCAAAGTATTATTAAACCAGAATTTACAAAATCCCAGCATATATATAACAAAGAGTTCAGGGTGAGAAAATAGACAAGTTAGGTCAAGTTAAATTAAAAGGACATATTGAAAGTCAGAATAACAATGAAGACCCCTAAACCAAATAACAAAGGTAATAGAACATCTGTCATGATATCGAAACGAACGATGATCAAGTTAGTAAACTTTGTTTGGATATCATAACAGGTGTACCATTACCTCTGATATTTGGTTTAGTGATATTCATTGTTATTCTGACTTTCAATATGTCCTTTTAATTTAACTTGACCTAACTTGGCTATTTTCTCACCCCTTAATTCTTTGTTATATATATATATATATATATATATATATATATATATATATATATATATATATATATATATATATATGCTGAGGGGATTTTGTAAATTCTGGTGTAATAATACTTTGATAAAGCAGCTATTAGCATTAAATAGCGAAACGACAGTGGACACAATACCGTTTTGTTTTTTCCATTCATTGGGAAATACAAAAGCCTTTATTATAATGAATATCATACACCCAATGTCCAAATTTTTTCAAACCGTTAAGAGTGAACTTGGTTTGGACATATATAGTCTATGTATTTAGGCCAGATCTTTGTATACAGAGAAGGTTAGTTCAACGCCTCCAACTAGTGGAACAAGTGAAATAATACGGGGAAAAATTTCGAAGTGAGAATAATAATAGTAACAATTGACGTAATAAAGTAAGAGTATGCAAATTGAATAGACAAAAAATTGGTAGAGCCATAATATGACTAGGGATTACCATACTTTAGCATAGAGGGATTAAGACCGTGAAAGTTGAAGGGGTTGAACGAACTTTATCAGTATACAGAAATCCAGCTTTTGTGTTTTGATAATCAAGACTTCAACAATACAGATGAGTGGGGTACACAATGATTTGGGCAAATTACTTTTCACCTTGTAAATGACTATAAAGGCGGAAGCTATAGAGATAGGGTGATCATTATCGACCACATGTCCAATGATCACGCTTCTTATTGATCTACTTCTACCTCTTTGTAACCATGCAGGAGAGTGTTCTTGCACTCTACTGGACAAAACTCGATTCGAACGACCGATATACTTAGTTCGACACCAGCAGATGAATTGATAAACGCAAAAAGAGTTGGTCAACTGGGGGATCTTGTCTTTCAGGCTATTGAACAGTAATGGTTGCAAGGTAAAGGCTATTGGCAAAGACGCAGCAGGGAATGTTCTTTTCATGGACTGTTAGATCCTTTTTTTCATGATATCAGAAGCTAAGTCACCTTTGAATTCCAAGCCCATGTACAGTATTTTTTAGGTACGGATGATAAATCACATTTCATATGATTTGACTGTATATTCTTGTCTATAAAACGTGGTGAAAATTCACTTTCTATTAGGATTTTTCTCAAAAGATTTAACCCATCCATCACAGCATAAGGGCTACATATGCGCCGAATGCGAGTGGCTAATGACCGGATCAAGTTTCGATTTTTTAAGCCAATGGGTACCCAGCTGTAGAAATTTGTCAGTTGACCATTCCATGACAGCGCTTTCGATAAATCGACCTCTTCAGAGTTCCATCGATCCTTCTTGATAAGTTCACATATGATTACAGGCAATTAGCAATCATTTCAGCAAAAAAATTGTGAGCCTCCATCAATTCAGTTGGCTAGAAAACAGATGTGAAGCATTCCAAGCCACATCTACCTTCCTACATGAGAAATGTTAACTGAATTCAAAGTCAACTTGAAAGAGTCTGAAGTGGCCATATCATCAAAATATTGCGCCTTATCATGACTGTTCGCCTAAGTCACATTTATGGAGGTGTGAACAGCTTTTGACTGAGGTCCACAGGATGCTCACAGAGAACGACAATGACTACAGACTATTAGTGACTAATTATTTCCTGTAATCATCCATATACTAAAAATCACCACTAATCCTTCACCAACTGCTCTGCTTCTCTGTGATCCCGTCATTCATATAAGCTTCTTTACATTTCTTTTCTTCACATTTATGTATGTATTTATGAAATGAAGTTCTTAAAAATATCACAATCTTGTACAAATTCAATCAATCCTTTATTGTGATAAAGATTAAGACATTCTTGTAGTGAAAATCATGTTAGGCGATAACTTCTTAAACATTTTTTTTAATACAGCTTGATGCCACACCGTATTTTCAGTACAAGTATGGCATTTTCAGCATGTGATATCGGTAGCCCAAATTTTGCAGGCCGACCATAGATATCAGGTGTGCATCGGCAGGGGATCGAACCTCGGACCATGTACATGGTCGGCAAGAGTCCTAACTACTGTGCCACCGACGCACATGATTACCTGATAGTTTTCATCTCAGAATTTTGCACAAAAGTGCACCACATAAACATAAGAAAAAATATATAAACTCAAAGGCAAAATAATGGACGGAAGTGCACGGGATAAAAGAATAATCACACAGAGAAAAAATAGCAAAATGAATCTAGGATTTCATAGGATGCCCACTGTCACCATTTCTGTTGACTTTCATCATAGATGTACTAATGGACTTAACCCTAACTGAGTTCGGCGACTCAAGGATTGATTGACTTGTTACCAGGGAGTAATCTGGCTGACTTAGAATATGTGATGATATAGTCATCCTAGGTGAAGACGCTGACAAGAGAAAGCAGAAACTTCTCAACACCTTGAGGAGCAGCAATCGTCTCATGTTTGGCATGTCGCGATTTGCTCCTGCTGCCAAATTTAAGGTGATTCCACAGGTCTGCACTACATCGACTCACTTCCAGCTTAAAGATAAGCAGAAGTGAAGTGGTGCAGCGTGTTAACCATGTCACTTATTAGTTGGGGAGCTGTATCAGCCAGCGCCAATGGGTTGATCGCTGTAGAAATCTCACCATGGAGACAGAAGGCTCTTTTGGTATCCGCCAACTTAAGCCATCTCTTGCTTAGTAGACGTGATACCCAACTAGCTGGTTGTCTGTCTACAAAAGGATGTGTGTACTGCCCAACAGTCAGCTCGCTCCGTCCTCCTTTATGGCGGGCTGTGGGTGAGACATGGTCATTGAAACTGGAAGACATGAGAAACATGGCTAGCTGGCTGTCTACCATCACAGGTGTGTCTGTGTTCTATCTTCATGTTAGGTGGTATAATATTGAGGTAAGGCTTCGGTCAAGTGCTAGGTAAGGGGGGGGGGGAGTCAATCCACGAGGTTGTGAAATTACATCGATTGAAATGGTTAGGACATGTGTTACATATGCCTAGCCTAGACATCGCTCTCCTCGACGACGGGCAATGTTAGCTGACATGGGATTAGGTTGAGAAAAAGTTAGTGGTGGTTAAATGAAAGCATTGCGTCATCAGTCAATCAAATCCATAACAGTTAGATTAAGCCAGCCAGCCAGGTAGCCATTCAGGCAGGTGTAGACTGTCTGGTTATCTGATTGGAGTCTTCGGGATGCTAAAAACCAATGAAGGCTGGAAGCAATTAATGATATGGCTCGAAATCGTTGTTAGTGACAGTACAGATCCATTCACTCTCTGTCATCTGACGTATCCAAAAAAATCGTATTGTTCCCTCCCCCATACCTCCGTTTATCATCTCTCTCACTTTTGATTCTCTCTTTACTTTCTTCTCTTGCTTTGTTTGCTACATGGGGGAGGGGGTGTGTGGCAGCTCAGACTGGCACAGTCTGTCTGGATTCAACATAGAACTTGGCACCGAAGTGCACCAGTTCGAGTTGCCACGTTCCAAATACCACACAAAAGTAGACAAGAAGATGAGTGAAGACAATCAATAGAGTTTGACAAGTATAAGAGTGAAACAGAATGGGTAGTGGTAGAAAGGAATATGAAAGATTACAGAGACTGAATACATCTGCGCCGTCATTGACAACGATTTTGAGCCATGTCACTTATTGTCTCCAACCATTGATTCCTAGAGTCCCGAGGGCCCCAACGCGGAAGTCTGCATCTCCCTACCTGACTCAGTTTAACTGTCAAGGATTTCATGGATTGGTGCCATGTTTTTGTTTGGTCAACTTTTACTCTTTTCCAACCTGCACCTATATCAGCTAGCAATGCCCGTCGGGGGAGGCGGTGGTTAGGCATGCGCACCACGTGACCTAGCCACCTTAGTCTATGTAACTTTATAGCCTCGTCGATTGATTTTCCCTGTTTGCCCAACACTCTACGCCTAACGTCAACATTATTTTACCTATTATACCACCTAACGTGAGAAAGAGATCGTAGACATCTATGATCGAAAGCAGTCAACCTTTTCATGTCTTCAACGCGTATTGGCCATGTTTCAGAGCCATAGAGAAGGACGGAGCGAAATGGTGAGCAATACACACGTCCCTTGGTTGATAGCCGGATGTCACGCCTACGCCAGAGGTGGTGTAAGTCAGAGAAAGCAGCTCGAGCTTTTCGGATCCGTGGTGAGATTTCATCGCCAATCAGTCTGTTGGTGCTAATACAACTTCCCAAATAAGTGAAGCGGTCAACATGTTCTATTACTTCACTCCCTATCACTAAGTTAGGGGTTGACGTGGTCCAGTCCTGTAGCAGCATCTGAGCCAGTCAGTCATTCAGGAGTTCATAAAGAATGAATCTACTTGAGCCATGTCTCAAACAATCTCCAACAATTGGTTCTTAGAATCCTGAGAATCCCAACCAGGTAGTTTATACCGCCTTACGCGGCTCAAACCAACAGTCAAAGACTTCACAAAAATGACGCTATATGCTTTGATTTGACTACACTTAAATCTTTGTCAACATAATCCTATACGATGACTCAACTTGCGTAACACGTATCGTACAGCTATCTCAACCGACCCAGTTGCAAAACTTCATTGTTTGACTTCCCTTTCTTACCTACCATACTACATACACCTAACCTCGGTATTACTCGCCTAACAAAGGAGATAGAATACACACTTATGGTCAGAGGCAGCTAGCCTTTTCAAGTCTTACACTATTAATGCCCATGTCTCGCAGCTATAACCAAAGGAAAACCGAACTGCTGCATACTACACATCTCTTTTCAATGATAGCCGGATATCATGTCTACGCCAAAGATGACGTAATAAAACTACTTCTCAAACAAGTGAAGTGATCAACATGCTCAACGACATCACTCCCTATCAGTAAACTGGAAGTCTTCGTTGACCAGTCCTATGGCACTACATTACATTTGATATGGGCGAATCGCATGTCAAACCTATCAAGATTTCTGCTCAAACGATCTGATTAGACAAAATTTTATCAATGTCTTCAACTAGAAGCACTAATATCATAAGTTTGATTGGCACTTAGTCTGTGTATTACAGAAAGCACTAAATCCACCTGTAACCAAAGATGTTACAGTCCACTGAAATTAAACAATTCCAAAGTGACGAAATATAATACATATAATGAATTTACAAATATACACTAACTTACCATCATGAACAATTCGAACGTGTCGATTCAAACGAGTTCGTGAGTAAAATTGCTTGTCACATTTATCACAGGAAAGTAGTCTGCCTAATAGGGAATGAAAAAAGCAAAACAAACAATGACACAACACTTTTTAATAGTAATAAATATTTGTATATAACAAATGGGATGCTTTACTAGTTTCATCAGTAACATTAAGTATGGTTTCACTAGAATGCTCACCAACAATGTATATGGTCTGGGGTTCAATTCCTGACTGGCACACACCTTTATCTCGCCCCAGCCGGTTGTATACTGGAGCAAAGACGGAAGGTGTTAGGTTGGACAACATATCGCCGTTAGCTAGTGCAGTCAACAAACCTAAATTCTAGTATAATTCACTACGGATTACCTTAATCGTGACCTTCAGTTTTGAGAAAGTCCAGTTACTGTTACAAAAACACAAACAGAAACTCTATGAAGAGACTTCCAAGTCAAACACTGATCGAAGTGATGACTGATAAATTATCTCAGCAGTCATCCAGTCAGTCATCGTCATACTGAGATTATTCATTCTGTTAACCAATTAGCCATAGAAGCATAGAGCAGTTTATCACTTGATGATGGATTATCTGCACAGTTGAATTTCAATAAATCCATAAAAATTCATGTCGGGAATCAGACTGACAATCGAGATGCATCAAAATCTAGTCAAGGGACCATTTTATAAAAGGTTTTTTTGTATTTCCCAATGAATGAAAAACAAAACTATATTGTTGTTTTTACTGACGTTTAGCTATTTAATGCTGCTAATAGCTTTATCAAAGTATTATTAAACGGGAATTTACAAAATCCACTCAGTATATATATAACAAAGAGTTAGGGGGTGGGAAAAATAGACTTAGTTCAACTTAAAAGGACATTTTGAAGGTCAAAATAACAAAGATCACTAAGACCAAATATCAAAGATAATAGTATACCTGTTATTATATCAGAACAAAGTTTACTAACTTGATCATCGTTCGTTAGTCTGGGGTCATTTTTGGTTGTCATGTTGGTGAATTGGTGAAGATAACAAAACTAAGTGTAGATTGAGAAATACTTGATCATCGTTCGTCAGTCTGGGGTCGTTTTCGGTTGTCAAGTTGGTGAATTGGTAAAGATAACAAAATCAAGTGTAGATTGTTGGATTTGATCAGTGTGTAAAATTAGGCAAGTAGTGTGTGTTTACATAGTGAACTTACTTATCACGTTTATGTTGATTTTGCCACTTCATGGGAGAGGGGGATGTTGTAGCCAGATCAGATTCTGTTTAAGTCCATCATTCCTATTCAGGCAATTTGGGTTTCACTTGTTGTGAAGTGCTTCTGATATTAGAAGTTCTTTGTGGTTTCTGAAGTTTTTCTGCATTATTTCAATATTGTCAAAATCAATTTTCTGACCTGATTCTATGACCCCCATGTAGACCACCTATGGCTGATGATTTTTGAAGTTTTTCTAGTTCAATTGGATTTCTTGGTGGTCGAAGAGATGCTCTACGGTGTTCATTTCTTCTGATTACCTTGATTTCTCGAGATGTTTGTCCGATGTAGATTACGTCACATTCGAAGCATTTTATTTTATAGACACAATAAGGTAGAGAATCTTTCGGGATTTGTTGGGTCTTTTATATGGACAAGGTTGCTTCTCAGTGTATCTGATGTTTTGAAGAAAAATCTAATGTCGAGCTGATTGAGTACTCTTCTGATATCGTCTGACGTCTCTGCTCTATATGGAATGACGACTATTGATGTCCATGTTTTCGGAATGTGTTTTCAACCATACTTAATGTCTGTGTTGATTTCGTTGATGAAGTTTCCTTGGGTAGTTGTTTTGCTTGAGAGTTTCAGTAATGTTTGATATTTCTTTTTCCTTTTTTTGCTCATCCGTTAGCATCAGAGTGTGCTCGTCTAAGAAGACTTGAAACAACTGAAATCTTTGCGCTGATACGGTGTGATGATCTGAAGTCTAAATATTTATTGGAGTGGGTTTTCTTCCTGAATATGGATATACTAAAATGTCCGTTTTGCCTCCTCTTAACTAGGCAGCCAGTCTAGAAACGGTAGTTCACCGATGTTTGATTCTGCTTCTGAAGTAGACAGGATTTTAGGAGATACACAGTTTATTTTCTCCAGGAATGTATTGTGTAGATCTCCTTTTACTACTACAAAAGTATCATCCACATATCTTAACCATATTTTAGGAGTGAGTATGCTTGAAAAGATGTTATTTTCGAATTTATTCATGTAAAGGTCGGCGACTATTGGGGAGACTGGTGAACCCAGAGAAACACCACCTGTCTGTCTATATAAACTCCCTTTAAATGTAAAAGAATTACTTTCTAGACCGAATTTCAAGCTATTAATTACTTCACTGGTGTCCAGTGGACATCTTTGTGATAGTGTTGTATCTGTTTCTAGTTGACTGGAAATGATATCAAGACTTTCCGTTATAGGGATGCTAGTATACAGTGAGTTAATATCATAGCTTACCATAATGTCTTCCTTATCAATTTCTCGGTGTTCTGTTTGGGATTTGAAATCATATGAATTTCTTACAATATTTTGAGTGTCCTTTTATAGTGGTTGAAGTACCGAGAGTAAGTATTTGGATAGGTTGTATGTCGGTGAGTTGGTGAAACCTAGTACTGGTCTTAATAGAACTGTGGGTTTATGTATCTTTGGTTGACCGTAGAATCTCGAAGGTACATAAGCTTTTGGTTTTAGTTTAAACGAGAGAGAATTTCCAATTGTGGGTTTCATTTCTTGAAGGAGTCTGTTTGTATTTAGTTTCATTTTCTTGAATTCGGTGGATTTCTTCTTCACTTCAATGACTAAGTATGGTCCGTCAGATAGGTGTTCAATCGCCTTCTTTTCATAATCCGTTCTGTTCATTATCACAGTGACGTTCCCCTTGTCGTCTTTCGTTGTAACGATGCTTTTGTCTTTCTTCAAATTTCCCTAAGGCTTCATATTCTTGTTTGGTGAGATTATATGGCAAGTTTTGTTGCATCATTAATATGTGCGATATCTTTTGACGAACAGATTGTGATTCTGTATTGGTGAATTGTTGTAGAGCAGGTTCGATCATAGGTGATATTTCCTGGACCGATAACGGCTTTCTAGTGATATTGAAATTCAGACCTTTCTGTAGTAATTCGATTTCATTTTCGGTTAGTATCTTGTGTGACATGTTAGGTATGGCTCTACTATTCTTCATATCATTTTCTGAGGTTTTCTTTGGTTGTTTCATATCTTTGAGTTTCAAGAATTTTTGTATTTGTCTTCTTTTAGTGACATTAGGAAAATGAGATTCTCGTTCATTGAACGGATTACTTTATCGAAGCATAAATGTAACTTTTATAATCATCGTAATTTCAATTTAAGCTGTCTACAAAGTGGAATTATTCCTAAGTCACTACGTGTTAAATCTCCTGAATATTCACACAAATCCATACTTGCTGCAAATCATACATCCAAAGTATTTTTACGAGGACGAATACATATATACAAGATCACACTGGAATCTTATCGAACGAAACATATAGACGACTGCTTAACATTAATTGTTAAAAGTCATATCTATGAATCCTTTCAAAAATTGTTCCATAAACAACACCCCCCTTCCCCATGAGGTGGTGAAATCAACATAAATGTGATAAGTAAGTTCACTATGTAAACACACACTACTTGCCTAATTTTACACACTGATCAAATCCAACAATCTACACTTGATTTTGTTATCTTTACCAATTCACCAACATGACAACCAAAAATGACCCCAGACTAACGAACGATGATCAAGTTAGTAAACTTTGTTTTGATACCATAGTTTGGTTTAGTGATCTTCATTGTTATTTCGACTTTCAATATATCCCTTCAACTCGACCTAAGTCGATTTTCTCACCTCCTAACTCTTTGTTATATATATATATATATATATATATATATATATATATATATATGCTGAGATTTTGTAAATTTCGGTTTATTAATAGTTTGATAAAGCTATTAGCAGCATTAAATAGCTAAACGTCAGTAAAAACAACAATATAGTTTTGTTTTTCATTCATTGGGAAATACAAAAAACCTTTATTATAATGAATATCATGTACCCAATGCCCAAATTTTTTCAAACCGTTAAGAGTGAACTTGGTTTGGATATATATAAGGCACCATTTGTTTAATAGCCAGGAGATATCATCATTTCAATTTCAGAGATTTTCACCCCAGTTTCTCCTATCTCAGGGGAGAAGGAAGAATGCACCCCAGTTCCCAGTACGTGGTCAGGTTGCTGAAAAGACTTCTGAAGCTATTTTGAACTCAGTTAGTGAAATTACGTGTAATGTTCAATTGATCTCAAAGAATTTCAAAGATTTATGTTATCATATCAGTCTTCATGATTTGGATACGTTGGGCATTGACTCGACTGATAAACTATCATCTTGGGAAATACTTTTTGCAGATATCGATTTCGATGAAACAATGCAAATTCTTTGTAAAGCTTTTGAGAAAAATGCATCAGTATTCAATATACGCTAGAAATGTTTAATTCTGACCAAGGAACAATGTGATGACTTCCTTATTTTTGCTAGTAAAGTCAACTGTGCACCAAACAAGGGTGTCACACTATTTCGTGGGAGAGGTATCATAAACACACAGTACTCAGACTTACAAATATCATCTTCAGTGATCCTCTAATAGAAAGTTTATCAAAAAAGGAAAGTGTTATGACGGACAACATATCTCTGTCAACGGTAAAGTCATCGGTGATATTAATTATGTATGGTTTAAATTTCCGTAGATGTGTAAGGGATATATATATATATATAAATCCTGTACTTTGTATGATAACGTTTTTGTCACATTTAAATCTAACTTCTCTGTCTACCTCATTGGCGGGGAATACTTCCAAATGATCAGTCTGCTCCAGCGTCGTGACTGGAAGCCCATTCTAGTCAAGTCATATAACAACCAACAAAAACACCAACACTCCACTACAACAGAAGGTTCGGCGTGGAACTAGCAACACCCCCCCCACCCCGTTGCTAAAAAAAACAACACTACTACTTAAACTGCAAGAATCAGGGTTGAAAAGGCCTATATTCCATTTGGAACTTATTTATACGATGATGTTTATGACAGAAATGCAGAAACCTCATTGAAGAATTTATCCTTTTATACTTTACAAGTATCAAATACTCAGTGAAATTTTCAGAATCGATGATGATGAGTCTCATAGGGGACGAAACATTCCGCCTGGATTCCACTCATCATATCCAATAATCAGTAGAAACTGCGAAATAAAAACAAACCTAATCAAATGTGAAGGAAGACAACTTCGAGACGGAATTGTGCAACCGGCTTTTTTTTCCTGGTTGAACTTATTCCAGTAAAGTTTCCTCAGAAAAAGTATAATAGGGATAATTGTTTATATAGTAATCATGAAATATAACGGCCATATATATATATATATATATATCGAAACTTTATTTAGTACAAACTATTTATTTTCTGTATATTACTGCATTTCGCGTCAGTCTGTTCCTCTTCATAATTTCACACCTTTTATATTGATTCACTCAGCATGAAGAAGAAAATTCGGATTTGCAACACCAATGTTAAACCAACCAGTCACTTCTTCCATATGGGTTAGAAACTTGCTATTCGTGTCACGAAAAGCATTTCCGACAGGCCAGCTGAAGAATTTTATCAACACCTGCCGCATTCGTTGGTTTCATACTGAGAAAGTCAAATGGTTGACCAACGAGAAGAAGAATTAGCAAGAAGAAACTCTGACAATGAACGAACCAACAGTAAAGAACCTATCGCTTAACAAATGTGTAGAAAAATTGAAGATGGAACCGGGGCGCGCCACTCAGAAAACCATTGGATAACATCGAGCTTAATGCAGGCCATCACTTGATTGTAATCCGAATGGGAAGCGAAGCGACGACTTCGGTGTAGGTCTGAGGGTGACATCGAAGAGATCGTGTGCGGAAGACATGAGAAACTATGGGGAATCATGCGACTAACTAAAATGGACTACACAGAAAAGAGTGAAATGAACATGTGCTGTTGAAGTCCAATGTTTGTTCCTCACAGAATTCAAGGGGACAATGATAAGAATAATAAATATTGATTCACACCTTATCTTATTTCATCTATCATCTGTCAGTTAAAGACTCATTGTGTGTTCCAGGTGATAGAGACGGTTTCCAGTGGCGCTACAAAGAACTTTAACTTCTATGGGCTTATTCAAATGATAATTGCACAAATATGAAAACCATGGAAAAGACTATTAATAATAATAACAGTGAATTACCTTTATGGACACCCAATATATGTTGATTTAAACAGTTTCTTGATAGAAACGATTTATCACATTGATTACATGCTAATCTAATGCCTAGAACAAAAGAACACAATAGATGTATTGACTGTATAAGTATAAGTGAACAACCGAGTGATCGCTTTAAGGTAATGAATTGTGTTCGACACTTCGTCATCCAGTAAATAATAATATTTCACCGACTGTGTGATATATCTAATAAACAAATTAATATGGAATTACATACTACCACAGTGCCCAAGTTTTACACAAACGAAGGACTAATTACATGATGTCATGAAAGAAACATGAAAGAATCATTCACTGTTCTTTCGTTACGAAAAATTCTCTGATCAACACCATTCTGGGTTGAGTCCGTCAGTAATTCAGTGATATAATGCTCACGAGACACACGAGAATGTCAACGTCCCACTCCTGAGTCATCGCCCCTTTAAAACCTCACCTAGTTTAACAGGTGGTAGTAGTGTTATACAATAGTGGAGGTTGTTGGACGTAAGGCTACAAACCCGCTACTGATTCCCTGAAATCTTGAAACCCTAACTTCCACTCGGAACGTACAGGTATGAAAAAGTAAAGTTCCAGATTGTGGCAGAATTCGAAGCAATTGCCTCTGAACTATCAGTCCACAGGTATATTAGCTGAAGTAACCGAGCTAACTGTGTTAGCTAACCACTACACGTAACATCTAGTTGTCACATGAATATGTAATGCCTTACTGTCAATCGTACCTCTGGCTTGAAGACAGATCCACAAGGCAGTGGAGCAGCCTGAGAAGCTACGTTCCCATTGTTCCGCTTCCGGTGACCAAAAACAATTCCACACGCTATTCCATTCATTCGGATTCTGGAGGCCTATCTACACCATAGGTTTGGAATGAGGGTTTTCAAACTCCCCTTGGTAGTCTAACATGTCTACCAGTGCAGTTGTGAGTGCCACAAATTCGCATTCGTCCCTTAACTTTTAAAAACAACAACTTCGTCGCGTGTAGGACTACATATAGAGTTCAAATACTAACCTACTGAGGGAGATTCACATATGATCCCATATACATACACATAGATATTGATATAAGGAGATTAATGATTCCTTAAAACAGTCAGTCCAATGTACTACAATTTATAACTGGTTGAATATTAGCTAATCGATGAGTTGGCTCATTTGCAAAACAAGAAAAATGGTTTAGATATGATAGAGAAGATTTGTAGCTCAGGTGGATAATTTTGATGTGGTTTTGTTCTCTGAGCTGGATAGTTAGTTTGCGAAGCTTTCATCACCTTACTGGGTGACATCTTCAGCGCATACTTCAAATTGAAGTGAGCTTTTAGGTTTCTCCACGAGTTTATTAATCATTCCTCCTGGTGACCTTGGACGTGATTGGTTGTTTATGTATGTTTTCACACCTTCTAGGTTACTTGTGTTGGAACTGATTGTTTCTGTGACTTGAACTTTGGCCAAGTAACCTAGAAGGTGTGAAAACATACATAAACAACCAATCACGTCCAAGGTCACCAGGAGGAATGATTAATAAACTCGTGGAGAAACCTAAAAGCTCACTTCAATTTGAAGTATGCGCTGAAGATGTCACCCAGTAAGGTGATGAAAGCTTCGCAAACTAACTATCCAGCTCAGAGAACAAAACCACATCAAAAGAAAAATGGTTGCAAATTCCCGCTTTCAACAACATATGCGTAAATCTGTAAATATTTAACTCACCTTTATGAATTGCTCTTATGTGTTCATTTAAAGAAAACTTTGTTGTAAACTCTTTACGACATTCATCACATGTTGGTTTTATGCCTAAAATAATAAAAGTTAAATGAATTTATTTTAGTAGTATATTTTTCACTTACGTGGAGAACAAATCCCCACTGCCTTGAGAAATGCATATCTCAAGTCTAATAGAAGACGATTGGAGGGAGTTGGTAGGACGCTTTATCTATATAGATTTAGTGCTTATTGACATTCTACAGCAGGGTGTATGTGTAATCTCGACAGAATTGATATCCCATCACCTATGATTCGAATCCCCACCCCCCAGAGCTACGGTGGTCAGTGACGCTACCATTGAACTATTCGAGTCCATTGTAAACCTCCTGTAAGACTGTGATGTTTGTACTGATTGGCCTTTGGGGGACGGGGGGGGGGCGTAACCCTTACCATGTGTCTAGACCTTAATGGTGATGACCGAAATCTATCAGTCAAATTTCAATGCGGTCACCAATCTAGAAGACTAGCAATCAAATTGCCTCCAACCAGGTAGTATTAATTCAAAAACCGTGCCCCGATAATGAATACACTGCAACCTTATGTGACAGAATTTAGTCATCACCACTAAGGTCTAAGCACATGGCACTGGTTACGATCTCAATGACCAATCCAGTACGAACCATCAAAGTCCTGCAGAAGGCCAATAATGGATCTGAATAGCTCATCGGTAACGTCTTTGACTGTAATCCTGAGTGACGCAATTTCGAATCATACATAATAGGATATCAGGTCTGTCGAGAATGCAGACAGGCTTCGCTGATGAAAGTGGCAACTAATATCGAAGAAGCCTATAATTAACAGAAAGATTCCCTTTTTGAGCTTAGTCGATCAAGAGTTTACTTACATAATACTCGGAGGTAAACAGTAATCAAATATCACAAATACTCTCAGTAATTACAACGAAGAAAATTTGCAGCAGGAATATAAATCAACAGTTAACTTCTACAATCGTGAGGATGTGATTCACAGACTTAGGTACTCGATTTTCAGCTGGTGAATCACGAGTCCCAATACCCCTCCACCTATTTCAGCCGGAGAAACTACTGGGTAGTATCAGCAGCCTTCATCTGCAATAATTGTGTCTCATGACCTGACACATAGAAGACCCATTTGGAGAATTCAGTTCTCCTATCTTAACTTTTTCGACTTTGTTACTACAAAGTTCATTTATATAATTTTTGGATAACGATGTAGCAGACCGGAATATCTTTCGTTCATTTCAGAAAATCCAACGGAGAAATAAATGTACAACGAACAAGAAGGTCAACACATTAGATGTTTGAAAGTTCTTGGATAAAAAAAATATCATTCCATTTTGAACCATTCACGCATTGATTCCTCCTCCCTTTCTACACTGATAAATAATCCAACTAAATGAACAACCAAAACAAAAGTGTCCCACTCGTATCTACCAATTGAAATCATCATCTTACACAGACAAAATAAAGGTCGAATATTTCAGCACAAACGAATCTATATCTGCAGCCATGCTCATCTGCTGCTCAGTGACAGTATAGGAGTGAAAAAATGATGCCTAACACTTCATTTTTGATGGATAAAAAGGCAGTTGATACGGGGTCTACTCCATTACAATGGAATTTTACATAGGTGACAACTACTAATCAATTTCCCAAGGAGCATGTTATTCAATCCTGTACCACACACATTCAAGCGGGACATTTACATATCACCATCTGCTTTAACATGATGTATGTCAACAGGAGAATGGATTCGATCGAAAGAAAGCAAAGCATACTTAAATTCAAACAACAATAATACGAAACTATACAGTGAATGACTCTCCCTTTCAGAACTGTATAGTGAAGTGCAGATACCTATGACCTACACTCGATGACAACAATATACGTATGCATTTATGCTTCGCTTTTGAAGTCCTACAATACTACATTATCTATGATTTCATTATCTTCATTTCATATCTTGATGTGTATTGTTGACACAATGTGGCAACTTGAATCACGATTCGATATTATTCCCAGTTTGACCACGGGGATTGATATCAGTTAGAGAACCATTGAAAACCAGCACTTGATTACTGGACAGTTTGTTTCGTCCTACTGAGAAAGTCGTGACCAGTGGGCTGGGGCCGGCCGAGAGTCAAGACAAATACTCACAAATGATACTAGCTTGTGCCAGCCACGCTAAAATCATGAATCGACAGAAGTTAGAATTCATGGGTTAGCCATTGACTTGCAACCGCCAGGTCCTGAGTTCGAACCCCAGTGGAGTGGTTGAGTAGTGGCGACGAAACAACTGTCCAGTACCGGTTTTCAATGGTTCTCTAGGTGACAGTCATGCGTGATCAAACTCGAAACAGATCGAATCTCTATTAACAAACACTCGGTGTATTGTGCTGCATTTTATGCAGATAAGAAAAGCGTTTAAGGCAAAAGAGAAATGAAACGAAACCCCAATGTTCATTTAGAAAACAGCTAGAGACAATAATAACCACCTACCTTCATGGACAATTTTAATATGATCATTCAGACGAGATTTAAAGGGGAATGTTAGGCTACAATGAGTGCAGGGTAATTTTGTACCTAAAATAAAAGAGTAAAAATAAAATTAAGCTGGAATATAATTTGAATGGAAACACTGTAAGAACTTTTATATTTCAAGCAGCCACCTTACGCATCATCTTATTCAGTCTAACGTTAAGGACAAGATACTGCTTTTGGTCACCTCAGCGTGTATTTATCAGTCTACTCGCTCTCGTGGAGAAAACTACATCGGCCGTGCACAACGTTAATTCCTCAAACGTAGCTAGCCAGAGGAGAAAAGGCCATGAAAGGCCATTTCATCATGGTTAACGAGCTAGCTCGCCTTGTAACCAGAAGGTCCTGGGTTCGAATCCCGGTGAGTGCGTACTGCGGAAGAGTCCCAAACTAGGACGAAACAGCTATCCAGTACTCCCACATTTTTTAATGGTTCTCTAACTGATGTCAGCTCATGATGAAATCCTGTAGCCTTATGAAAAAGTAATCAACTAACACATCAAATCTCATAAATGTAGAGAAGGACTTTTCAAGTCTTAGCGTAGTACACTTGACTTCGTATAATAGGACAATGTTTGTTAGACCTCAGTTACCCAGTACTAGGAAATAGGCCACACTTATTGTGTAGGAGCTAATGATACTACTCAGCTGTCGAGGCTGAAGTAAGTGTAGTGGGACTCGAACCTGGGACTCCTTTACTGAAAGTCGAATGTCTAAACCAATGAGTCACATTTCCACCGGTGATATAGGACTATATCACACTTCCACTGTTACCTATACATACACTTAGATGCATGAATTTCTAACTACGTTGCACAGTTTACCACAAGTCATTAATGTCGTTAACCTCACAATCCTGTCAATCATTCTGAATTACCTTACTGTTTTTGATGATGAAAGACATTGTGATACCCGTCTACCGGTAAGATTGGATGAATGAACATTTTATCGACTTTTGTTTATCCATCCCTTGAGTTCCAAATGGAATCTCAGGCTTTAAGACTTTGGAGATTCACTAGCAGTGGTGTTTGCTAGACTCACGTGAAACTTTCCTCTTCTTTCTGGGCTTAATAAGCCCGGTTGGTACATTAAGCGAGGTTTTGAGAGTGTGTCTGCTTTGAATACAATCCACACGTCCCGCGTAGCTAACGAGCATTCTGTAGATCATACTGGTTCATATTAAGAAAGCGATAAGAGACACACACACGCACATATATGACCACATTTTAAGTAAATCTAAACGAATCATTCTACTTACGTTGATGTACAAAGTCTTTGTGTAATGTTAAATAGGACTTTCTTGAAAAGACTTTACCACATTGTGAACAAGGGTAAGTAATGCCTGAAAAGAAGAGCAACAAAAAAGCACCAAAAAGAGAAAGATTGAATTAGCCAGTGTTAGCATACAAAAGAAAATAACCCTTATGACACATGCTTTCGTGTCTCAAGGAAACGTTATTATATAAACAGTTACGCACAATTAGAGTAGAGTGTGGAGTATTTGTGTACACAATAACAAAACGCCTACAGGCGTTGTAACCTTCCTTCCTTCCTTTTGAGTTGGTTGTTGCTATCATGATCCTGGATGAAATTGGTTCCCATTACATTAGGACTTTGGCTGCCAATGGTGACATCATGATAGCCACTCACTGCCTCCGTATGCTCGTGGTTGTTGTCTGGGTGATCAAAGTAGTTTAATTACTCACCAGCTGACAATTTTGACAGTTCACATCTATCTCATCTGCTCTTGCAGATACACGTACTTCTGTATTACGTATTAGCATTTATCTGGCTACCTGGGCAGTCTTCCCACCCCAGTACATTGTACGGACATTCCATATCCCCATTCCTATTATCCCTTTCATCACATCTGCTGGGTGACTGGCTTCCCGAAGACTTCCCCAACCCGTGTCATTTCACCTCTCCGATTCCAGAGAAGAATAAAATTGTTATTTGAATTTTTTTTGTATTTTCAATGTTTTCATTGCGCGTTGAAGTTTGTACAGCAGTGTGACTGGTTTCGTGGTGTAGGATCGCTAGTCCCACACCCAACCCTCCCTGTTTACCCGGGCTTGCGGCCAGCCAGCAAACTAGGCGAGGTTTGCCAGAAACAATTATCACCAAGACAATATGTCCATGATCGAACCAACCAAGGATCTATCGCTCAACAGATATGTAGAAGAAAGTGCAGGTGGATTGGATCCACACTGCGTAGGCCAATGGGTGAGATTGCCAGCCACGCCATCACTCCAGTCGAAGCCGAATGGAAATCGACGAGCTGGGTGTAGGTCCGAGGGTGACATGGAAAAGATCGTGTGTGGAAGACATGAGAAACTATGGGCAATTGTGGGGTCACCTAGAAAAGGACTGCAGAGAAAAGATTCAAACAGACATGTGCTGTTGAAGCCCTACGTTTTTTCCACTCGGAACCCAAGGGAACAACAAGTATAATAAATAAATGAATACTTTGCTGAAATTGGCTCACAGGTAAATTAAGAATAGACGGTATATACCAACATTCAAGGCATACAAGGCCTACATCAACGGAAATTTTTGTCAGACAACACGTCATAAATCCAGACACTGACAAACTAGTAAATAACAAAGCAAATTCACTGACAACTTACGACTTAATGACGGTCGTAAAATGTGTTAGATGTACGGAGAATTCGGTCGATAAGAGTCCATCCGCTTAACTTAACATTTAGCACTTTTGGTACTCATCAAAAGATATGTCTGCAATCTCTAATAAGCTGAATGTCGCTTCTGTAATTATAGAACTTTGTTGTCAAAGTCAGGGATTTCACGGGTGTGTGCCATCCACTAGTTGTTATTGGGATATTGAGTGGAGAGTAAAATTTTTCCCAAGTGAGTGCGTGGGCGTATGAAAGCTAGTAATGCTACTTGGCCAGAAACGCCAAACAGAGTTCAAACACACACAACTAACGATACAAAATTTCTGCTTCTGTAAAGGAGGACAAAATAGGTTTGCATTATCAAGTGCCGGTTGGCAGGGATTTAATTGGTTACACGATTAATCACAAACCGACATCAGTTGCAGAACCATTGGAAAACCACGACTGCAGTACTGGACAGCTGTTTCCTCCTAGTTTAAGACTCTTCAGTAGACCATCCAGCCAATGGGATCCGACTCAATGGTTCATCAATTCCAACTTCTGCAGATTCGTGGCATATATGTATGTATGTATAGCGCAACCAACAGGCGTTATCACCACCTGACTTGGTGGACCCCACTGGTTACAGCTTCTCACTAGAACCCTAGGTAACTTCATTTTTAAGGCCAGATGTTAGTGAGTGACAGATTCATCATCAAGTGTTGGTTTGCAGGGATTTCATTGGTCCCAGGATTACTGAAATACATCTTTAAAAGAAACAAACACAAATAATCCATACTTACCTAAATGTACAACTTCATTATGGGATTTGAGCGCACCATTTGTCAAGAAACACTGACTACATTGTTCACATTTAAACCGGCTAACTGTTCAGAAAAAACCATGAAAACACATATACAAAAAGCACTTATATATATATATATATATATATATATATATATGTTATATTACATGTTACATTCACCTTAATTTTCTATAGTTCGTTTGTAAGGATTAGCTTTGTTTTTACGAGTTGATCACGGATTAATATCAGTTAGGGAACCATCGGAAACCAGGGGTTACTGGACAGTTGTTTCATCCTAGTTCGGGAATCATCGGCAGTACGCACCCACCACCACAGTTCGAACCCAGGACCTTCCGGTTACCAGTGGGTGCGTACTGCCGATGATTCCCGAACTAGGATGAAACAGCTGTCCAGTAACCCCTGGTTTCCGATGGTTCCCTAACTGATATTAATCCGTGATCAACTCGTAAAAACATTCACTTTAGGCAAATAAGTAAATAATACAACCCATCGAAATAAAGTGTCAGAAGGGCAACCTAAAAATTATGAAATGACAAATAAATATAGAGTTAAAGATACTATAAAAATGCTACGTGGTAAGTGGGAACTAGTAATGACCTCGGAGGCCATATGTCCGAAAAGACTGATAAACTAAGTCCAACTAAGGTTTACTAATATTAAAAACAAAACTCGGAAATACGTTTACAATAGTGCCATTTCCAGGCATCTTATCAATACAGCTCATGAAGTGGATATCACAAAATTGTTCAAAATTATCACATTATCCTACAGTACACAGGAACAATCCCCACTAAAAGCCTGTAAGCCAATTTATGTATCCAGGAAGAAGCAGTTGACAAATTTCCATTGCCCTGGTAACTGAATGTCATTACTCTCTCTCTCTCCCCTTCGTTTGATCACGTAATCTTGGTCTTTAACCTTGTCCCCTTTCTTTAATATACTCCTTGGTTTCCCAATGGTTCCCTGATTGATGTCAGCTCGAAACCAAGCTTTTAACCAATCAAATCCCTGCAAACCAACAGGTGATAACAAATGTTGTCAATCTCAACTGAATGATTTAATTGTGTGTGTGAGGCTTTTATCGACCTTGTGAGCAATATCTTCAGCGCTAAGTTCAATGTGAAGTGAACCTTCAGAACTCTGCATGGATTAACTAACCACTAAATAACCCCTAGATGACTGGGACTCTAGTCGACTAAAAATTAACAGATATGTGGATACATATATATATGGAGAGAGGGCAAATTTAGCGAACAATAGAAAATAAGTCACACGACTTGAAAGGTCAAATATCAGGTCACTTAAAGGATTAATCACAATATATAAGTGGATATAAGGCCATTAGAAATGAACCAATCACATCACAGGTCATCAGGGTAAGATAAAGATTTCATCTAGAGAAAATTCTCAAAACTAAATTCATATTGAGGTTAGCGCTGAAGATGCTGTATACAAAAACAATGAAAGTCTCTCATCAGGTTCAGACAGAGAACGCAATGACACCCAAACAAAATATATCCATTTAAGCTAAAAAAAACTCTATTCGACTTCAAAAGATAGGAATGCATTAGTAATTAGGAAGATGAAAGATAAGCCATCCAAACTCGTCACTGACTTGGTTCCAAAGCAAACTATCTTCAGGAATTTGTAATCCAAACGTGATCATTAAGTAACAGATATGCTCGAAAATCGTTTCTCTAAATCATTTAGGAAGACATCCTTTGCAGGTAAACTTCATTTAACCTTAACTAGTCGTAAGTTGTTCTCCGTATCTGTAAACTGTTAGCTCCCTCATCTAACCGCCTTCATCTGCAACCTCACTAGTTCGCCTGCTGTAGCGGCACAGAACACTTTCAACACAGATATGACGGTACATTTCAGCGTTGTGAAAGGTAGGATGTGCAAAGCTCTACCCTGGCTAGAACATATTGATCGAATTCCGTCACGCTCTACCAATCCCAACCATGATTTTGAGATCATCTATCGAATTCAGGCTAACTTGCCGTATTTTTATTTCATTCAAAACTTCTAAAGACAGTGGAGGCCTTGGCCATTCATGAGTTCAAGTCAGAACATTCACGTACACAAGAAGTATGTACAGTCTTTATTTCTACCTTGGCCGTAGTGCCATAAACATTTATTTCTTTTGTTTATTTAATCTGTGTATCTTCCCCTACCATTACTACGACTGTTATTAATGTTATTCTCAACTTGAACAGTTTCCGGGATTATTTCACTTGCCCCACTTATTATTTTGAATCAGTGTATCCTTTTTGCAATGTTCAATTCTAGCTTACCAAACTTCTCACTATGTTACATAATCAATTGGGGGATAGTGACTAGCAGTGGAATCCAGGATAACGCGCATCTCGTCCTATTTGAGACCTGTCAACTGGATGTACCTGCATTTACCATTGACTGATGCTGTTCCCAGTATGGCGCGAACTCAGTAGCCAACGTTTCAAGTGCCTAAGCGTTGTCCATTAGACCACTTAGGCCACGAAACCTAACTGTTGTGTAACGGGTCTTATTAATTATTTAACTCAACTTAGATTTTCCCGTAGGTTGATTGGACCGAAGTGCTCGGTCTCACGTTGACATGTTCGCTCCTTATGCAGATGTTTCTATGGTGTCTGGTCATGTAACTTGAAGTTGATTTGTTGATGGTGACTAGCAGTGGAATCCATCCAGCTGTCGTGTCCCAAATAGGACGAGTGCGTGTTATCCTGGATTCCACTGCTAGTCACCATCCACCAATTAACTTCTAATTACATGCCCGGACATCGTAGAAGCATCTGCATAAGGGGCCGACATGTCAACCTGAGACCGAGCACTTCAGTCCAATCAATCGACAGTAAAATTTAAAATTGAATGGATGTTAATTAAATTGCCTATTTATCCTATTAATTAAACAACCTTCCCCAAGATCTGTACATCCTATGGAATATTTTATAATATTGACATTATTTGTTTTGTCACTTCACATTTAACTATGATTATAATCACAAATATTTTAATCGTATTTCACATTCTTATTTCAAGTATTCACACCTTTTTATTTCAATTTTTGACTTTCCCACTGATCGATTGAACCGAAATGTTTGGCCTCTGTCGTTTACATGTCGGTTTCTAGTGCGGACGCTTTAACCATATCTGAGGGTTAACTTGAAACAATTTTGCTGAAAGAGAGCAAGTAGTCTATCTGGATATGACGCTTGAGTGTTTGAAACCATGGGTACTGGGTTCGAACCTCATAGTGGGAACACCATCACTCACTCAATCAATGGAGAATGCAGGCATATCCAGCTGACGAGTTAGTTCCCAAAAGAATGAAATGCACATCCTAGATTTCACTGCCAGTCTTTTCGTTGAACAATCCGTTCTTAATGTTACAATGCAAATTATCAAAATTATTAATGAAATTCTTATTAAAAATTATCATTTATCTCACCTCCATGAATCATTGCTTGATGAATTTCCAATTTATACTTCTCTGCAAATGTTTTACAACACTGTGGACATGTATAGTCTACATCTAAAGTAGTAGTGGTAATGGGCAAAAATGAATACACACATTGACTTTAAGCCACAAATATAAAAATACAGTCGGAAAAACAAACAGTGTTAAGCTTTAATCTCATCCTATCCATTATTCATTCATAGGGAGTATCTGAAAATCTATGGAAAACTATGTTCCCCATTCAAGATTCTACCTCACGTCACATGATTTACTCATCATAAACTGTTATTCAGATAACAGTTGACACCCTAAAGTACTACACTCAACATTCTGGTATTGTTGTGTGTGTATTGTGTACTCCAAAGCTTTCAATATCCATCTGGACAACATCCTCAGAGATGACTATAATGTGAGATTGGGAATTCTCAGTAATGACTGCTTACAACTTTTGATTCAAATGTCAGCCAGACAGTTTATCAAAAGTTATGAAGTACATCTAAAATCTCAGTAAATCATTAAACGACTTATCCAATAGCTTCACTTTGTGTCAACCATTGGTCTGACTCACTGCTTTAGGTGTTTCACATCTAAGTACTGGGTCACAGGCTCGAGCCCCGTTTAGCTTACCAAAGGGTTGGTGACTAGGTAACCCTATCAAAGTGGGTATGGGTTACTGTCAAGTGAAAAGCAAATGGTTACTGAGTAACCTTCTTTTCATGTTGTCTGGAATTCCACAACCTACAACAGTCCTTTCCTTCAAACATTATCAAAGATCACATACCATTTAGGCGCGTTGGTCTGTGTATATGGTGACTATTAACGACGAAAACCGCCTTCATCAATTCAATAGTGTATGCAGAAGATAAGCGGTTTTAGCATGTTTAAGCACCCCTACATATGAACATCCCAGTGCCAAATTAATTTTTACACGGACATTAATGAAGTCCTCGACCTAGACGTTCTGCTTTTTAACACTCGTCAACAAGGTGTATCTGCAGCCTCAAAGGACCTGTTGTCCCACTCAACCTCTGACATTCGAGCCCTGATCAGCCATTATCGTAGTGACAGAACTGACTGAAGACTAACTGGTTTCAACATTGAACTTTGCACAGAACTACACCAATTCGACTTGCTACAATCCATGAAGCATACAAATGAACACAAAAGAGAAAAAATGAAATTCGGTCGAACCATAACAAGCAGAAATGTGAGGAGGGAAGAATAGTAAAATTGAAAAACAACAGGGCAGATAGTAAAGTGTAAATGCATCTGTGGCATTGACAATCAATTTTCTCCAACCATTGGTTTTTAGCATCTCGAGGACCCCAACCAGCCAGTCAAGCAGTCTGCTCCTCCCAACGTGGCTCAAGTTAACTATTAAAGATTTCATAGACTGATGCCATATGACCACCACTAGTTCTTTTCTAACCCTAATCCTATGTCAGCTAACATTGCCCGTCGAGGAAGGCGAAGGCTACGCTAGGCATGCATAACAAATGTCCTAGCCATCTCAATCGATGTAGATTCACAATCTCATCGATTGATCCTCCCCCTTCTTATCTAACACTCGACGCCTAACCTCATTATCATCCACCCTATTATACCACCTAATATATGAGAGATAGAACAGAGACAGCTATGCGCACTACAATATCGTCATTCGTTAATTTAATGAAATAAAACCTACAATTAATCTTAAATACAATTGAAGCTTACCATTGTGTACGCGTTGGATGTGTATTTTTAAAAATGTTCTGGAAGTATAACAACTGTGACATTTAGTGCACTGGAAGACTTTGGATTCTGTTAAAAAAAGCAGAAAACAAAATAAAGAATTACGATTTGTGAATAAGTAAGTGAAGTTACCTTAAGAACAACATCTCTCAAACATTCTTCTACTTCTTTTCAATTTAATTTAAACTTATGCTTCTTAAAGGAATAATAATAATTAGATAAGCTGTATCACTTGTGAATGACTACTAAAATTACTGATAGAAAACGTTTGGAGAGCTATTGGTACTACAGTGTGCATAATAATACATGCATAGTAGTAGGCGATGGAGATTCCCGGGCAACAACAACAGACAATAATCAGCATAAATGGAGGAACCTAAAGAAACAACATCCCTTACCTACCTAGCTACCCAGGAAGCATCGTTTCAACTACAGGCGGATGGAACTGACGAGGACATCAAAGCAAGGATCGGAAAAGCAAGAAAAGCTTTCATTACTCTCAAGTCTGTGTGGAGGTCAACAGCACTCAGCATCAAAAATAAGATCCCGATTTTCAAATCCAATGTGAAGTCAGTGCTACTTACTATATGGATCAGACACTTGGAGTGCATCATAATCAGCACCTCAAACAAACTACAGACCTTCATCAACAGCTGTCTTCGCTCAAAACTCAAGATCAGATAGCCGGCCAGAAAAGATCAGCAACACGGAGATCTCTGGGAGCGAACTAACCAGGAACCGATTGTGCAACAAATAAGCAGGAAGATATGAAGGTGGATTGGTCATACTCTGAGGAGACCATCAAGTGACATCACTAGACAAGCCCTCGAGTGGAACCCGAAAGAGAAGTGGCGAGTTGGTCGTCCAAGGGTGACTTGAAGGAGGACATATGAATATGATATAAGAGAATGTGGGCAGACTTGGAGCCAGGTGAAAATATTAGCAGAGAAACGAACGCAATGGAGACGCCTGGCTGAAGCCCTATGTTGATGATGAAACCTTCCAACCAATCGAACACAATCCCTACAAAACCAATACTTGAAAACATGCCTAGTAGTTAAAAGTGACTGAATGTTATTACTATTACGTTTTGTTTTTGTTATACACATGTCTATTGGGATTACTGCTGTAGGAACGAGGAAGATGTCTAGCTCTCCTCTATAGTTTTCAATCACTGTACAGCTGACATCGATTCATGACAAAATCCGCATCGAAAGTAATCAGAATCCCTGCAAACATCGAAGTCGGAATATGAAAATGTTTTCAAAATTTCAGCTTACTTATACTCATATGTAACTGAAAAGTCTAATAATATGCCGAATACCATAAGCCGTACACCTTAATTGTTATATTCGGTGAAGAAACAGTAGTCTATTCTGTCTGATTCTGTCTCTCCACAATAGCCTTCCGCGCCATCAGGAAACCAGACTGAATACAAAAACACCAAAACCACTAAGGCAATCCAATCAGTTAATGTTAGACATTGTTTTGTTTCTCTTCACAAGCTAAAACAGCATGAGGATCGTTTCTAAGTAAATCTATCCTCTGAAGCTCATAAGACTTCAAGATTTCTAGTTCTTATTTATAATTAGGCCTGAAGATAGCTGGGAGCAACTGACTACAACTTCGAAATCTGCTTTATCCTAAACACTATAGCCTCCAGATACTGACTGACTGGTTTCAACGTAGAACTTAGTGTCTGTCAGTGTAGCCTATTGGGTCATTGATATATGCAAGCCCGACCACCACGTCAAGGTAGCAGCCATCGGTCGGCATAGCCTTCAGAAAAATTCGCTGGATCATTCCACACAGCCTTACAGTTATAATATTTACATCTTAGAACTTTAATTGTATATACAGCTTCAGTGGAGTTTTATAAAAAGATACCATTGTAACACCAGTACTTCCAGTCATCTTATTAGTGTTCCCCTTTCACAGGCTGAAAGACATTCTTGGATTAATATTCAACTCAGGTATTTAAATTTAGCCTGAATCGGAATTGCATTTCACTCAGATCACAGCACAGATAAGATTCATTGACTTTATAATTAAAATTAAGGGTAATAACTGTGAGTAAATTATAAAAAAATGAACCACGGGACACGGACGCGGTAAAAAAAGACGATATGTTAATACAAGTGCGTCGGTAGCACAGCGGTAGGATGCTCGCCAACCACACCTCACGTGGTTCGGGTTTCAGTCCCCGTCTGATGCACTCCTTTACCTTGATAAGCCAGTAATAGGACTGGTAAAGAGGGAAGGTTGGGCATGAGGCTAGCAACCCCACCCGTAGAAATAAATACCACTGCCACTGAAATTTCATGTCTCCAGCTTGAAACACTATGCTCCTCTGGGAATGTAAAGAAATAAGAAAAAAAAATGAAGAAACTTGACGGTCCCAAGTTCAATCTGCAATGCCATCATCTATGAGAAATGCTCTTAATTCCCAAACTAAGACGAAGGAACTGTCTAGTGCCATCTATTTGTCAACAGCTCTTCATTACCTATCAATTTGTAGCAAAACTTATCATTTTCAAAATCCGTTTGATTACAATTAAAGTTTAACAGAATGTCTCAATGTACTCACCTTTAGGGGGATTTCGTCTTTTGGATTTCGTTTCTTAACCACAACAACACCAACATCGTTACTACAGGTATTGTTGTTATTAATATTGTCATTGCTGTTGATGATACCACATTCACTAATCTGTTCAGGATTGCCTTCAACTAGAAAATAATAGCAACAGGATTTATTTTTTTTTAATATGACGGATATAAGTACATTATCATATTGTAACGGTATAAGGCGAGAGACTTGGTCAGGGGCAAGTTTATTTGCAATTCTGCATCGTTATACAGCGAAATTATGTACACCTTATCTTCAATGCACCATTTCCACAGATCTTCTGTGTTGTGCTACTTCTGGTCACCTTTCATAATGTCTTTCTTTGTCTTCCTTTCACATCTCCCATGTTTCTCCACAACGCTGAATCCTTTGTCTTCTCTGACCTTAAATCTATTCTCCACCGCCTCCTATTTCATGTTTTATGCAGACGAACGTCTTTACACACTACTGGGATATCTTATCAGTACCACACGCTACAATATGAATTTAATGAGTAGATGCACAACATGGAGTTTTGCATAAAATTCACCTGATTAAAGTTCCCATCACAGCTGCTAGTAATTCCGAAAAAGAACAAAGGTTGGGGTGAAGCTGACAATCCTTACTCTGGACAGCTGTTTCATCCTAGTTAGGGAATCATCGTCAGTACACACCCACCGCCAAGGTTCGAACCCAGGACCTTCCGATTACAAGGAAAGCTGGTTCGTAAACCATTCAGCCACTGGGACCCGATTCAATGGCTCATGAATTCTAAATTCTACCAATTCATGAGCCATTGAATCGGGTCCCAGTGGCTGAATGGTTTACGAGCCAGCTTTCCTGGTAACCGGAAGGTCCTCGGTTCGAACCCAGTCGGTGAGTGCGTAGTGACTGAGATGGTTCGGGCATGTGTTACGTATGTCTAGTCATCGTCTTCGTCGACGGGCTGTGTTAGCTGACATAGGGTCAGGCTGGAAAAGAGCTAGCGGCGGTCAATCCTAAACATGGCACCAGTCAATGAAATCCACAACAGTTAGTTTAAGCCACGTAGAAAGATGTAGACTTCCTGGTTGGAGTCCTCTGGAAGGTAAAAACCAATGGCTGAAAACAATTGGTGATATGGCTCAAAGTGATCATTCTCAATGGCTGGCGAAGATGCATCCACTCCTTGTGACTTATGATTTCCAGTGAAACTGTATTGTTCTTCGTTATTACTCTTCCTTTGTCTCACACCTCTGTTTACTGTCTCTATTATGCATCTCTTCTACTTTCTTGTCTTGCTTTGTGTGCTAGATGGTGTGGCGACTTGAACTGCCGCACATTTGCTCCAATGTTCTATGTCGAAAACAGACACACAGAGAGACAGACGATGATTCCAAAACTAGGATGAAAGAGCTATCTAGTACTCTCTGGTTTTTAATGGCTCTCTGGCTGATATTAATCCGTGATCAACTCGTAAAAGAACAAAGCTAATCCTTACAAAACCAACTATAGAAAATCCTAACTCTTATTAAATGTTCATGCATAAGGCCTTACATCCCACTTGGAACGAGAGGAACTAAACACACGAATTCATAATGCAAATACCTTTTCAGTTTAAGTGAATTAGCTAGAAAATAACATGTAACACATAGCGAATAAAGCCAGTTATGTGTTGCAATCACGGAAAACAAAATAACCTGATTCATCAACAAAATACACACATTAAAAAACATACAACATACTGCTAGTTAATTACACAACAGTAACCTTTCAAAAATCCCATACGGAATTGTTTTCCGAGAACAATTCTAACTATTTATATAACTTCTTATGTACCAATGAGTCAATAATGAGGTTAAGAGTGAAGTGTTAGATAACGGGGTAAGATTAATCCATATTGTTGTCAAGCTCGACTGAAATGAGTACATGTGCTATGAACGTCAAAATACCGCCCTCGCTGAATAGTAATTTCAGTTGATATAAGACCACGTTACCAGAGAACTAGCGGTAGTCATACAACAACACAAACAAGAACAACACTGCATCAACCCATTTCACTAACTGATGATCTGAGCCACGTAGAGAACTGTAATAGACATCCCAAGGATATTTAAAGTCTACAGTTGGAGACTTGATGAAATTACTCAGAGTCGTTTACAATGTCGCAAATGTCTTTACTCCCCATCATCAACTAGGTCCTATATCCTTCCTCCTGCGTATCTTTGTCTACTATATTTTCACCGTATTTCTTTCCCCTACTTTAATTTGTGCCTTAAGGAATTGTAGTGTATTAAAATAATGCAGTTTTGCACAAAGTTTGAAGTTAATGTTAGTCAGTTAACAGTAATCAGACGTTTTATCTGCATGTGTTGCTTTCCATTCCACCGTATTCAAAAATATCAGTATCATATTATACAATTAATAAATAGGAGATAACGCCTCCTTCTTACCTTTACTATGATTTTCCATTTCCACATCCTCATCTCTCTTCACATCATATTTCTCTAATGACTTCGATATGAGATCATCTGACTGTACTGGTTGTTCAACTTTAAAATGTATGTGACAGCGAAGATCAAGTGCGGATGTATCCATTATGCTGCAAAAAAACAGCAATTTGATTTATAATAAGCTCGTTGAAAAGCAGCTACGCGTTGCAGTTGCACACAAATATATAAGTGGCTAAAGACAATATATCGCAGGAAATACAGAAATGTAGGATGTCTTTTTTTTACTAAAACAGATAGACGTAAAATACAATTAATATTCCCGAAAACTTGAGTTACACCATCGCAGATAACATCTTCTGAATAACATTCTTACTTACATACTTTGGCTAAGCGAAGGGACGTAGGATGACTTCGCCTTCATAACCTACTAATTCTTCCCAAACAAAAATCAACATAAAAAATCACCGAACGAACTCGAAATGAAACTTTAAATTGTATATTCGTATAGGATGACCAGTCCTTGGGTGGCCCGGATTTTAACGATTAACAAAAAAGGCATACAAACAGGACATACTTTAAAACATAAAGTCTGTAATTGAAACGCAGTTTTATAAGGCTGAGTACGGATACGATATATATATATATATATATATATATATATATATATATATATATATGTAAATAATCGGCAAAGTAAAACTTTAAGAACCAGTAATTAACGGACAGTAATGGACAAATGATCTCGAAGGCAACAACCACATGATAAAGGCGACTTTTGAGTATAAAATGCATGTATAGTCATGAAAATAATGAATTAAAAGGCAGGAAAGTATTACACAGGATATCTTTCCCTAACTTAAAACAAAAATACCTGCCAGCTTTAGATTAGAGTGCCGACAGAGAAATTTAACCACATTCTATGTAGATGATTATCTAGGTCTTCTAACCCAACCAAAAGCCATAATCTTTCCTTAGCCTAAAAATTACATGAAAATATCCCCGAACTAACCCTAATCTAACTCACACTAACTCTAATGTCGCGCTCGCTAATTTAACCAAACCCTAAACTGACCTCAGCATCAACCTTAACTTAATATTCACCAAACCTAACATGAAACTTGCCCGAAACCCTACTTAATAACGTAACATTCCACCAAGTATATTCTGTTTATGATGACAATATTATTTACCAGTTTTCACTAAAATATCCCCATTGTATTTCAAGGAAAATGACGCAGCCCCGCTACACTTATATTTACTAGCGCTCGAAGTTTAAACTGGCTATATATTCGAGGAAAACGAAGCCTAAATATTTTAAGGTCATTTAAGTGAATATGAAACCAATGTACTGCTCATTATGACTTCAGTTAGCTCAAAGTCTACATTTCATCTCTAATTATCTGTCATGTAATAATGATAGCTAGAAAAACTCACGAATATTTGCCAAAAATTTAAAATGAGCGGGATACCTTGAGGACAAATGTCCCACCAACTAGAAATTCAATGTCCAAATAGCTACGTACGAGCCAGTATCATCAAAGCTTATTTGTTGAATCAGATTCTTACTGATTGTGTGATAGTCTAAGGTAGATTTCAAACAAGAGAAACTAAACACAGGTTTCAACGGTAAAAAATAATCAGATAGCTGATATTTCAAAATGAATTGATGTAAGAGAACCAGTTTGCCATGTCAAATATCAATACCTCTGGGAAATTGGGACGTATTTCGTAGCGAACGTTTTTTAGCGCTCAATAATACCCAAAATTATTAACCACAGCAATCATCACTGAACACTGGATGCTGACCCTTAGTGTTCCTGTCGACTTGTTTAGCTGAAGGCTTCCGGTCAAGCATCCTCACCATTTGGTACTCCGTCGTGTCGCGTTCGTACAAGATCACTAACCAGCTAGCTTCAGCTTCAATCCGCGATTTGGTCCTGAAATATATCTCGTAGTTTGGACGATCAAATACTGTCTTTTACTTTGCCTTTGTTCCACGAGAAACGAATAATATAGAAGTTGTTGGTATAAGATCTTGCGTTGGTAAACTTCGTACAATTCGCGAACGTCACTATCGTCAGCCTCCAAACTGGTGAGCTTAACCGCGAACTTCATCTCGATAAATGCGCAGGTAACCCCGATGAGTTCGTTCCTTTTTGTATTTGTTCTTATGCTATATTGCAATCGGTATAAGTTTCGTCATGAGTGATCCTAGCCCCAAGCCATCCGTATTTGCTAAACTGCCAAAACCATTCAGCTCGTACCATATTGGCCAGATAATGCTGAAACATGGTTTCAGATAGCTGAGTCTGATTTTTTTGAGCATGAGATAACCGATCGACGTTCACAGTTCCTCGCAGTTGTTTACGCCCTACCGCGGGAATTCAGCAAGTGCAGAAGTCAAGCCCTCGAAGAAAACACGTTCATGACGTACCGTAAGATTCCCGGAATCTCTTCAAACCTTTATCACATAACTGAGGGTGTGATTCACCCAACTCATTCGTTTGCGGAATTAATTATTTTTTGCTTTCCAGACGCATCAATTTTTTTAGATAGCATCAATAACTTTTCATTATTTTACTGTATGGTAGATGCACATCATTTTAAATGGCGATTATATGTCATATCCCCTATTTGAAAGGGCGCCTCCAGGTTAACCTAGACGGTATTTGCGCGGTTTAGTTGATTCATTTTGGGGCTACTCGTCCAGGCAAACGCAGTTGACGTGATTTTGACGTGATTAAACTTCCACATTCTGTTAACGTTCGAAATCAATTCGCGAAATTATTTTTGGAATCTCGCAGAAGTAGTGTCCGATTTCTCATAAAGCTATGGACGAAAGGATTAGAAAAGGTTGCTATATCCACTAAGGTATGGCTCATCTGTGCCTGCAAGTGAAGGCTACGCATCATAGGCATGAATATAAAAACTGGTGTTGTCATCCATTTCTCATGAACTATCGATGTCCGGCGCATCAGAAACCGTTGCTGTTCGGCTTTTAAAAGGTTGTCTAACTGAAACCCTACCACCACTGCTCTCTTTTTTTATTAGCTCTAGTTCAGATTTAACATCTGTTGATAGGTGGGCTACACGCTTATCATTTACACTGACGGTCTCACGAGTATCCATACCTTCTTCCACCGCATCTGCTCTTAATTCTACTTCCCGCTTAAGCTGTACAGAACCTTTGTTCAACTTAGCAGTAGTAGGCATTCCCCTCATCTCATCATGGTCAACCAAAGACAAAAGTGCACTACCATTACCATTGTCACAAATATCCACTTTACCGCCGTCTATCTAGACAACCTCATCATTTTCAAACTCTTCAATAACAGAAGTAGACGATTTTGGTTCTTCTTCACAAATCTCTACAGGTTTTGTATCTTCGCTCTGGCTAGTAATATCTTATAAACTCGTGGAGTCAGAACTGTACTCTGAAACTGTAACTCTCTTCTACTGCACAAACTACGGTGTCGTCTGTGACACTTCATTCAACAATGACTTACGACTTGCAACTACAGGCTTCTTCACTGCACCATTGTCGTCACACAATTCGTAGTCACAACTTGACGCTGATTTCACATTTAGCTTATCCTTAAACTTGCTCACTGATTCACAGTTCACCTTTGTATGCACTTCTTGCAAACGTGTAAAACACAACCGTGTTTTTCTCGCAACTTGTAACCTATCCGTTGGGATGTCCCACGAAGGCTGTTACACTCACTAAGTTTATATGGATTACTAGACACCATAAAGCTTTCTCGATATCCGCTTCGCTGAGACTCTTTCGTCATCAATGACTGCGGTTCGCTCTCAGACTTCTCTATTCCAGGGTGAGATTCAATATACTGGCAAACTTACTCATAGCTTTATTGACACTATCTATTACCAGTTTCAAGATATTATCAAACTTTGGCTCAATACCTTCATCCTCTATTCGATAGCTTGTCCTCACCCACTTTTTTTGCAGTCGAGTAGGTAGGCGTCTCGCTATTACCTCTAGGACTGAATTGGAGTTCAGATCACCCATGCAATTCATCGAAATCAACGTATTCTTGTAAGTCATCAGATTATGGAAAAACTCAGAGTGCCTTGGATTTATCTTGTAATTGACTACCATTACCCTTAACAGCCTCGAATACGTTCTTTACAATCATTGAATGTCTTCGAAGCCTTTGACGCAGTATGCTCATAGCCCCAGTGTATCCTTCGTCAGGAGAAATGAACTTACAGCACTGTATAGCTCTTGAAACAACTCCAGTGCAGTACCTCATCAAATAAATCTTCATTTCACCATTTATTAGAAAACTGCCCAGCATGATTTCAAACTTCTTTACAAACTGAAAATAGTCAGCTATGTTTCAGTCGAAACACCGAGGTTCAAATTAAGGCCTATCATCCCTAGACTGCAAAACATGAACAAGAGACTCATCATGCTGAGCATCATATATTTATCATTACAATTAACAAGCAACTCAGCATTACTTGTTTCCTGTCTGCTTCCAAGACGCTTCGTGCCTTGTTTGACCCGGGCATTATTGAACTTGACCAAAATTCCAGAAAAGTTCCAGATAACACTTTTCAAAAGAAGACTGGCAGGCACCACGAAAGACGGGCGGAAACTATCCAAACACAATCAGAAACTGTCAGCCAAGTATCATAATCTGTCAATGTCCGGCTCTTGCTACGCTGGATCTCACGCAGTCCCTCGAAGTATTTCAGAAACACTTTGTATTAACCAACAAGAAAACCGGAACACTGATTAGCGATTCAAGAATCCTTTATTCTTACGCCAACATGTGACCAACAACAAGGTTATTACACAAGGTCTAAGAGCAAATGTTATAACAATAAATCATGATAATCCTCCTGATAGTTTGTTATCTTCCTTTTAACAGCGAACGATGAGACGATGACTGCCGGATTGATGACCCGCGAAAAATATGGAGGAGTTGGGTTTGAACAAACAACCATGAATTGATCGTCCAATCTTCAACTACATTTACAGTGTGTCCTGCATATGTAGGGAATATTATATGCCTTATTATATCATCTTTACTAACTATACTTACTATTCGTGTGTGTAATCTATCGAATTCGTGATGCCTGTGTACTGGCGTCCCTCATGTACAAAAATGAGGATGT